TTAGCTTAGCCAGCTTAGCCAGCTTAGCCATATCCTCTCTCTCTGATCTGAAGGAGAGACTAGAGGAGTTCTGCAGAGAGGAGTTCAGGAAAATCCCTCCACAGGGTAAGAGGAGCTTCCTGCTGGCTCTTCTATTCTATTCTATTCTATTCTATTCTACTCTATTCTATTCTATTCTATTGATGTGACCCTGTGTGTTCTTGTGTCTCCACAGCTGCAGCAGCTTCTTTATCACTCTCAGAACCAAAGAGCAGAGAAGATTTTCTACAGTGTAAGTTGAGCCTTTAGGCAGCGTCTGAAATTCTCACTGTAGAGACGTTTAAAGTCGAAAATAAACACAACAACAAACACAACGTTTTTCTTCTAATAAGAACTTTCTTGCCTCTTTTCCACTGTCGAGCCAAATGGTTCTCAGGGCCGTACTGTGCCGTTCCACACTGGTCCGAACTTGTGAAACTGGTTACCGTTTCTGATCAGAGTCTATTAATAATGATTATCCTCTTATAATCTGAGGTTTATTATACTGTAAAGGTCTGTTTGCACCGACTCTACTACTGAAGGAAACCAGATTTCCTGACTTTCTATCTTCTTCTGAGTTCTCAGAGTGTTTATTTAAAAACACAAACACATCAGACTTTGTGTGAAGGTTCCACTACTTTATAAATCTGATCTTTACTTGATGTAAACAGACCTTCAAGTGTATTTTTCAGTAACTACATCAACTACAGTGTAAACTAGTTCTTCTTCATCTGATCATTTAACAGGTTAATAAGTATGTTTGTGTAATTTACTCAGATGCAGTAGTAGATCTGCTATTGTTGGTAGATAATGTGAGGTGTTTAATCAGTTTGGTGTAAATAAAAGTCCTTTTCTAAACCTGTTTCCTCTGCAGACATTATTTATTTAAGATAAGATAAACTTTATTCATCCTGAAGGGAAATACAGCTGTTCAACACAGCAGCTTTTACAGTGTAACATACAGCACAGCTAAAACACAGCAGTTACTGCACTTATTTATTAATAATACAGCGTCCTGTGACCACTGATGAAGGACTAGACGATGACCAACACACACTGTGCAGCAGCAGATGAGCTATTGTCTACAAGGTGGACGGACAAGGTAAGAGTGTCTAATAGAGTGGACAATAAGTGGACACAATAACTTCTTTTTCATTTTTTTTATACTTATACTGGAGAGTACCTCAAGAGAGGCATCACTCAAGACTGGAGATCAGAGCAACATGCATGTGGTGGAGAGCAGCGTGTGGACACCCCTTATGTAAGGTGTCCACAGCTGTTACCCCTCTAATTACCTCCTAATTACCTTGTTCAGGCTCACCAGCCCCTCCGAGTGTCCTAGCAGGCTGGACGTTACATTTCTTCATAAATGTATGTGTTATTTATCATCTCTCAGTAATAACACTCTGATCTTTATGGATGAAGGTTCTGCAGATGACTGGATTTGATGGTCTAATCTGAGTGACGTGTTGCTGATACACTGAGAGAATATATAGTATACAATCATCACAACCAGCACAGCAGTGAACGTTCACCAAATAATGAATTTTAGTTACTACTTCTTGATGAGGGTCATTTTAAAATGATTATAAAAAATTTATTAAAAATAAATAAATAAAAGGAGTTCGTCATTTTAAAGTGATTACATAATAATAATAATAATAATAATAATAATAATAATAATAATTCCAGATCTTATCTTTATTATTATTATTATTATTATTATTTTTCAATCAAAGGGAATTGTAAAAAAATTGATTCATACCTTACTGAAAAAAATCACACACACACACATATATGTATGTATTTTTAGTTTTTTTTTTTATTTTGGATCAGCATTAATTGAAGATCATCTGGAATAAAAGTTGGGTGTACACAAGCTCTCCAAGCAGCTTTGCTTAACAGCCATCAGCAGGAGAGTCAGTTGATTTTTTTTCAAACAGACCTGCTGTAGAAGTTTTAGTAGAAACAGCCACTTTCAGAAAGATAAGCTATCTAACAGTCATCTTTCTCATTTCCCACTGTGATGTTGGAATATCCCTGACAGCTAGTTAGCATAAATGGCTAACTAGCTTCACCCTGTACAGCAGGTCTGAACGATCATGTTGGAGGAACTTCAGCCCATCAGCCGCTAGCAGGAGTTAGCCGGAGAGGTCATTTCAGTTCAGCTGTCAGTGAAAAAGCAGTCCTGAATCCTGAGTCTGGTCTTTCCAGGTTGTAGATCAGGGAGTTAGCATGACGCTTCCTCTCTCTCTACCACCTCCACACCTTCAGCAGAGCTGCCACTCCAGATGAGCTAAACTAGCGTTCAGGATCATCTTCTCACTTTAGGAGATCTTTGACTTTGTACAAACGCTCTCGATTCAGAGAACCTCTAAAGAAGGATGTTCAGCTCCGTAACTGTTAGCAGGAGAGTTCATTCAACTCACTGCTGAAGGCAAAGAGAATTCAGCCCAGAGGCCGTGAGTCAGGGGTTAGAGTGACCTTTAGAGACCTCATGGTCCACTATCTCTACACCTTCAGCAGGACGGACACCTCCAATCATCTCTGACATTTCAGCTCTCTCTCTCTCTCTCTCTCTCTCTCTCTCTCTCTCTCTCTCTCTCAGATGTGGCTCACGGTTGAAGAGATGTCCTCTGACATAAATCTGAGTTTGATGTGAAAGTATTTTATGAACAGCAGAACCAAAACAGGCGAGACAGCTGCAGTGCAGGTTGTGTTCACAGTTTCTACCCTGTTAGAAATGAAGGTTCTGTTCAGGTACATTTTTTGTTCAGCAAGGTACAAACAGTGTAAATGTTCCCTCAAAGCTCCAACAGTGGTTTTAAGGTCTGATTGTGAACCTTAAATAAGTTTTTCCAGGTGAAAAGTTCGTATTTGTACCTTTTCATAACCGAATGTTTTAAAACAGAACAGTAAAATAAAGTCCTGGAGGCGAGACGGGGTGTGTGGAGTCAGTACAGCTTAGAACAGAGCATTTCAGTGGATTATGGTTCAGTTATGTTCCCTGACTAAAGGTACTGAGATGGAGCCTTGAGGGTCCCACCCCAGTGTCAGGAGGGGGACTGACCCAGAGACAGTTTAGTACTTTCTCTCTGACAGCTGCAAGTAATGCTAACAGCTAACAGCTAGCACAGAGAGAAAAAAGTACCAAGCTAGAATAAACCTGCAAATTACAGAATACAGCAGCCTAGACTTTAAACAGCCAATAAATGTCCAGTCAAACTAGGAAAATTTCTTTCTTTCTTCCATCTCTCCACAGCAGTAATGTTCATATTATTGTGAAAACACATAGCAAGCTAGCATAAAGCCTCTGAGCTGCAGGCACCAAAAAGAATAGGTCAGAATAACATAAAATAGGATTGAACTTTATTGTCCAGCCAAGACAAGAAAATTGCTTTGTTTTCTTCTCTTCACAGTAGCAAAGTTCATCCTGCTAACGCTAACAAGCAGCACGAAGAGAAAGAGAGCTAGCAAGCTACCATAAAGACTCTGAGTTGGTGAGAACAAACGATAAAGAAGCAAACAGAACAGAGCTTTGTTGTCCAGCCGAGACAGAGAAATTGATTTCTTTTTTCTTCCATATCTGACAATAACAGCTACAGCTGAGACTGAACAGAGCTAGTAAGCTAACATAAAGCCTCTGAGCTGCAGCATGAAATCAGCAGCTTCATTATTCACTGCCTTCTCCGCTCCTGCGCCGTTAGCTTTCAGCTCGGCCGCTGTTGTAGAGCGGAGTGTTTACTTTCTGATTGTAGGATAAATTCTCTCCTGCTCTTGTTCTCCACCTCGATAATCCTTTCACCACTTTCTGACCTCAGCGGCTGTCCGGCTCTTCCGTTCACAGTGACGCTTTAACCCCGTGCAGAAATGAGGCTGTACACAGTAAATATGGGTCTCCTTCAGCATCATCTTTCATTCTGTAAACCTCTTTAAGACCCGCTGCTCTTTTAGACAGACTCTTTCAGTGGTGAAGCTGTTTAGACTGTAACGGTCAGATAAACAGAAATATTGAGTGATGGACAATAAGAAACAGATCATAGCTCTAACCATGTGACTGCAAGGTTTCTGATTATAATATCTCAGTCTTTGATGACAAAAAGCAGAAATAAACTGAGGAGGATTGTTAGAGCAGCTGGGAAAATTGGGGACCTTCAACAAAAGACACCAGAATAACTGATATAACAATAACGGGCTGCTGCTGTGTTCAGCTGTGTTAATGTGCTTTAGTCCATGTTTATAGATTACAGTGTATCATACAGTCTCAGAAACCACATCATCAAGACCGTTAGAGACACTGAACATCTCCACAAACTCTGAGACCAGAGATGATCTACACATGCAGTTAGCACCATGCTAATTGGTGGGTTATAAGCTGCCATTCCTACTTTAGCTCCATTCGCCTTGTAGCTCCAGTGCTAAAAACATGCAACAAATGTGTGTTTGGTGAAGGATATACTGTGTAAATTCATTCTTTTTTTTTCAAAACTATCACTTTAATCTTTAGAAAAAATCTCTGCACTTTGTTTATCATAAGATATTATAAAAGAGTGGCTGACTGAATCTTGGGGTGACTGACCACTGCCCCCAGAGGAAGCAGGAGTGAAGGACGGTGATGTTTACACACACAATGTCATCGCACTGACCACATGTTCATTCATCTCTAGACTGTTAGATGAATAAATGACCTGATTATAATAAAAGCTGAGTGGTGATTTAACGAGACACACAGAGTAATTAGGATGATGGGATGATTGAGCTTCTCTGAACTTCACTGGAGATCCACATGATCAGGACTTTAAATCCATTTTAAACACACAGTCATCAGCTTCACTGTGTGTCTCAGTCTCAGAAGCAGATCTGCTCAGTCCTGAGTCTTTAGATTCAAACGGTCAGTCATGACAAACACACATTCAGTCTAAAGGTGGCTCTGAACTTCAGACTGTAGATGGAGATGAACTCAGATTAAAGCTCTCTGATCCTCATGTCTCCTGCACTGAGGACTCATTCTGCTCTCCAATGACATGTTTAATTATCGCTGCGTGATCATCCGAGCTGCAGTCGGTCAGCGTGTCGGTCAGTGTGGAGCTGGTGGACTTTGGCAGCTTGTCTGGTTGGATTTCTCTCTCCAGCTGATGCTGCTGTCCACCCCGATTAGAGAGAAATAACACAAATAAGCTGAATTAATTAGACCGAACATTAGCTGCTAGTAGGTCTCTGTTATTTTTAATTCTTGTTGTTGTGGCTTATAGTAACACAAACACATTTAAAAACACCCAAAACAAAGAACACTGCCAATTACAGATTTAGAATTAATTATTATAGTCTTAATATTTGTTTCAGTAAAAGGAATATACACCAAAATGTAATTTAATAATAATTAGTATACTAAAATGACCTATTTATAGCCATTTCTTTTTATTAGACTAGAGATTTGATCACCACATCACTCTCTATGATATGCAGCTCTATGTGGTCATCAGTGAACGGAAATGAACCCTAATCCCAAAAAGCCGGTAATAAACTGGTAAACAGAGAGTTAAAGAGCAGCAGGCTGTGAATATCTGTGAAATCTGCTTCCTCACTGTGAGTTTGGATGAGGATGAAAATCATTTAGGGCTGTGAATAAAATCCTGCAGCTCCACACAAACACATGATGCAACTTTAGCTCTGCTCTGCCTTTACAGACTGAACGCTGACACTGAGCTTTACTGCTGTGGGGAAATTTGGGCTTACTGGGTTTGTTTTAGCTGGTGATTAATCTTTAGAACTGAATGTAGAAACTCTGCTGACCCGTATTTACAGCTCACCACTGGAGTGCTTTAATGTGTTGCTTATTAAATATAGATCATTGTGTCTTTAAGGGAACCCAATAAAAGATGTAGCTGAATCCTGAAAATGGCTTCAGCTCATCGTTGGTGCTGTGAGGAGAAATGCAGTGTGACCCAAAACACCATGATAGAGCTCTGAGGGTGCAACAGTAAAAAAAAACTTTATTAAAATTTGTATTTGTGTGGCTCATACTGAACCTCATAGATGGACACAAAATCTTTAGAGTGAAACTTCTACAATCAAATGTCCCCATGACACACACACCCACTGTATTTAATCAGAGAACACATGCTTGGTGAAGAAGTTGTGATGTGATTTCTGACACTATGATTCACTGTATCTATAAACATGGACTAAAGTACATTAGCGTAGCTGAACACAGTAGCAGCCACCTGGAACACTGAATTTTGTCTGTCTGTAATTTGTGTACATGAGCTTCCATTACTTGTTAGCTACATTAGCCTCGTAGCTCCAGTGCTACTTCAGACACCGAACATGACTTGGCTAATCAACAGGATTTGGGCTAAGAGGGAAACTGATTTTACTTTTGGCCAAATCATCATTTTAAGTCTTGCGTCCTGATTATCACATTTGCCGTGATTAGATTGGCATAAATTTGGTGAATGAAAAGCAAGTAAGCCCCAAAAACACACCTGAACAGGTGAAACCCACAAAATACACCTGAACAGGCGAGCCTCACAAAACACACCTGAATAGGTGAACCTCACAAAACAACCCTGAACAGATGAGCCCAGCAAAACATCTAAACAGGTCATCACAGTAAAACACACCTATAGGTGAGTCTGGTGAGTCTGATGCTCAACAATACACACCTGAACAAATAGAATCTACACCACACCTAGGTGAGTCACTCTAGGTGAGTCAGGTGTGTCCTAAAGCTTTTTAATGCTGTGATGAACTGCTGAGCTTATATTGTTTATACTGAATATATTCAATGATTCTTTAAAGCTGCTTTCCTAACAACTAAAACAGCACAGCGGTAAAATGTAAAATTAGTGTAAAATGATGCAGAGCAAGACTTATAGGTGTTGTGCCTCCAGGTGATGGATGTACCTGCTGTGACATCAGGAATCCACAATAAGTAGAACACATCACAAAACACACCTAAACAGATGAGTCCCGCAAAACACACCTAAACAGGTGAGCCCAGCAAAACATCTAAACAGGTCATCACAGCAAAGCACACCTAGATAGGTGAGTCCGGTGCTCAACAAAACACACCTGAGCAAATAAAATCCACAACACACCTATGCATGTACATCAGTAATCCACAATAAGTAGAATACATCAGGTGAACCCCACAAAACACACCTGAACAGGTGAACCCCTCAAAACACACCTAGACAGGTGAACCCCTCAAAACACACCTGGACAGGTGAGCACCTCAAAGCACACCTGGACAGGTGAACCCCACAAAACACACCTAAACAGTCGAGGACCTCGAAACATGCCTGAACAGGTGAGCACCTCAAAACATACCTGAACAGGTGAGCACCTCAAAACACACCTGAACAGGTGAATCCTGAAAGTTGTTTAATGCCACAATTAGGTATTTCTGAGCAGTTCCTGATTGAGGCTGTAAGATCTTTAACTGTAGATCCTTCACCAGGAATAACAGCTGACATCCTCTATTAGGAGTGAATGTAGAGGAGGTTCCACTTGGTCTTTTCAGACGGTGAATAAAACAGAAGATTTAGAGTCTTATGATGATGATCTTTATATCCCTGACTGTGAGTTTCCTGAAGGGAACAGGCCCCGCCCCCAACCCTCTCCTTCAAACCTTTAGTAAACTCTCTCTCCAGGCTCCGACTTTGTTCTGAAGTATCAGATTGTAGCTTTAAAGCTTCTTGTAGTTTATTGAACTGAAGGTGAAGGTAAGCCCTCGGGGGGCGCTCCCCCCAGAACCACTAGCAATAAGACTGAAGTTGTGTTACTGTTCTAATCCTAATTTTAATTAAAATACATCTCATTAAACTCATTCAAGCAGTTCTAAACAAAGCTTTTGTTCTGCCCTCAAGCCAGGGACACCTCAGGAATGAAACAACACACTCTGACCAAAAAACAGCAGCTGCCAGTGGGATGTTTTCATTAACACTGATGGACATTTCTGGACGTTTCCTGCTGTTTCCTGGCTAATTAGAGCTGAATCGGCCATGTATGGAGTACCCTTGAAAAAAGTGTATTAGACGACTAAAACATTCTGGTGATAATTCATGAGGTGACCTCCACCACAGAACTATACATTGTTCTCAAATATAATCAATAGAGGGTCATATATAATCAATCTAACATCACCTTAACACAAAATCATCATATAAGAGACTCAAGCAGTATCGAGGCTCAAACAGTTGTAAACAGAAGAGTAATATTTTACTTATGTAAGAGTTTACATCAAAACAAGCAGAAACAGTTATAAGCGTAAACTTAAATCTGTTAATGAATAACTCTATATGAAATGCGGCTTTCTGGTCTGAGAAAATAAGTGTTAAAGGTCTTCAGAGTTACTATGCTTAAATTGCTTTATTTGTGTGGTGTTCCTCAGGGACAGGGTTGGGATAGCTACTGAAAAATTAGTAGTTGGCTGCTTTGTAGCTACCTTCCCAAAACTTGTAGCTAGCTACAATTTAGCTACTTTTCCAGAAAAAGTAGTGGCTAGTTTTTAACTACTAGTGCTCTACTTTTTAGCCACTTTCAAAGCGCAATTGTCAGAATGTTTGTGAATCTCCACCTGACACACCAAACAAGCCCAACTGAAACTGTGAACAAGACACTTAATACACATTTAATCATGTACCAGAATAAAACATACAATTTAAAAGCTGCAAATATACAAAAAAGATCACCAAAAAGTGAGTTTAAATATAGCCAACACTCAAACTTACACAACCAAAGGCATGTTATCCAATAAAAATCCAGACTAAGTAAAGGCAAAGTCAATCATTCCAGGTTTTTCCTAATTTAATTTAAAATTACTGAATACAAACCAAACAATTTTGTGCAAAGCATTGTCAACTGTTAAAATAAAACTGCTCCAATTTACACATTTCAGTAAGATACAGACAGACATGACATTCAGAGTCCTGTTAAACTTCAGCAACACTTCAGCCTCAAAATTCTCATCAGTGACCCTGGTTCTGTTTGGGCCTGAGCAGCTGAATAATCTCTCCACTGCTGCAGAGCTGTTAAGGCTCCACAGCAAAACTAGATTATTTGGTAAAATAACATAATCATAGGAATGTGCCATTGACCTGCTGCCAGGGGCCACTCCCTCCCCTCCCATATCTACCCTTTGTCCATCAAAGAGACTGACACTGTGGATAACATCCAGGAGACCCTTAGGCAGGAGTTCATCAGGCCACTTGTGGCTTCTGCTAGTTTCTTCTTTGTCGCCAAGAGGAACTGAGACCATATATTGAATATTATGGACTTAAACAAGCCACAATTAAGATTCACTACCCCCCTGCCTTTGAGGCCAGCTGCACTAGAGCAATTACATGGAGCACACCTGTTTACTAAGCTGGACCTGAGGAGCCCTTACAACCCTTGTACAAATCCAGGAAAGGGACGAATGGAAGACAGCCTTCTCCAAGAACAGTGTTAATATGAGTATCCGGTCATGCTGTATGGTTTGGCCAAGGCACCAGCTGTGTTCCAGTCTTTTGTCATGCTACTCCATGGCATGCTTCACAGGTATGCGACAGTATACACAGACGATGTCTTGGTGTATTCTCACGGCCTGGATTAAAACGTCATGTAAATTCTGTGTTGGCAACATTACTGGAACACAGCCCGTTTGTTGAAGCTGAGAAGTGCCAATTACTACTCACAGTTTACCCAGAACTTCAGCACAGTCACAGCACCTGTCTCCTCAAGGGTGCCTCATGCTGACTCACCTGGTCACCTTTTGCTTATTTATTCTGCTTCCAACAAAGTATTTTAGCAGATCAGAGGTTGACGCTTGTTTTGTAAATGTGTAAAACAGCTTTTGAGGGAAAAGAGCTTCTAATGATAAGTGACCATGTTGTGTTGGTGATGGTGAGGTTTATTCAGCTGCACATCTTCATGGCTGAATTTCTGAGCTTAGTAGAATGATCTGCTTATAATGGAAGATGTAAAGAGGCTCTTCCATGTTTCTTTGGTCTTTTTACAGGATCATTTCTGTTAATGTATGAAGCAGTTCTTCCACTTTCTCATCCAAGTCAGAGCAGCTAACACTAGCTGACTATAAATGAGGCCCGAATGGAGCACTGTTCCACTCTGAGCGTTTTCCAGTGCTACTGCTAATGCTGATGCCAATGCTGTGATTTATTCCTCCTTCCTGTTGTGTTCTACTGAGAATATAAATGTAGCACACTGAAGATGTTCTCCTCAAAATAAGAACCTTAACTTCTTCTTCTTATCCAGGATGAAGCGTCTGCATCACTGCTGCTCCACTGAGATCAGAATTTAAAGCCCATCTCCCTTATTTACTGTTGCTTTGGTCATCAAACTTTCAGCCCAGACTGCCTGGTAGCATCTGTAGCACTTCAGTGGCACAGAGGAGAAGATCTGAATCCTTTTATTAGTGTAAAATAAACTAAAAGGATCTAAAAGGATTCTGGAAAGCATGTTTGCATTAATCATTAAGGAGCCCTTTTAGTCGGCGCTTCATTAGTCTAAACTTAATACTGAACATTTTAAACTCTCTATTGTACCAACAGCCAGTCATCATTATTAATAGACTCTGATCAGATATAATGAGGTGAGGAAATAGGGATGATAAAAGCACTTAGTCATACAGGCCTCACAGACCATCAGCCACAATCACCACCATCATTTTTATCACACAACCTCAGAGTTGAATGAACACTAACTTCAAACCCAGCATAGAGCAGCTGAGTGAATGTGGAGTGGACTGTGTGTAGGAGGGTCATTGTGTCAGAGACGCTGTAGAAGGACAGAATTCCTGCACTGTGATCCACATAAACTCCTACTTTGCACAGTGGAGCTTCTGGGAACTCTGTTCTACAGCAGCAGTGCCAGACAGCGGCATCAGTAGAACAAAACAGTCTCCAGGACTGACTGTTGTATCCAAACTCACCATCACTATTCTGTCCTTTCCTGCTGATGTCTTTATACACAACTGCAATCGCCGCCACTCCGCTGTACTCAACCTCCCAGTAACAGCGTCCAGTCAGACTCTCCACACTCAACACCTGATACAAATCAACAAATCTCTCTGGATGATCAGGGTAATGCTGGTCTTCATCACTCAGAATCATAGCTCTGTTATTCTCAGACAGAATGAGGCGACGATACGCTGTGTTAGGATCCAGAGTCAGGTGACAGAAATCTAATTAAACTACCATAAAAAAGAATAAAATCAACATTTTATGTTCGTCTTCACAGAGGCCTCTTTTTCACGGCAGGGCTAAATGGTTCTGTAACTGTTCCAGTGGCTTTTCCACACAGACACGGTTCCACACGGAACGCTTAAAACTGTGCTTAGTGTGTTTTGTTCCAGTATGGTTAGCTAACCATGCCACAGAACCATTCAGTGGGATGACAATGTAACTATTGTCTGACATTTATGTCCATATTGTGTCACTGCATCCTGCTGGATTATTCAAACCCAAAAATGATCAAATAAGTTCAGTTTGCTCACATGGACTCCTAATAAATCCATGATTCCATAAATGATAGCATATGGGCTGCTTGGTGTTGGAGTGACTGAAAGCCAAAATTGAATGTGTTGTGTAGCGTCTTAAACTGTAACCTGTTTAGGCCAAGCTTCTGTGATTGCATGGTGCCTCCCACTGCGGTACACTCAGTTTCAGCTAACCATTGCTTAAAAACATCTGTTTAGAGGGTAAAGACTCTTATATGGGAGTGCAGCTTTGAATGCCTAGTGGTAAAGTGACAGAAATTATGCAAAGTAGAATTATTCTGTGGTTCACTGAGCTGTACCCCTATTCTAGTGAAGTTAGCTGGCTACAGATTCAACCCCCACAGTACAGGCTCAGTTTGAGTAAATGATGCTCAAAAACAATCTGTTTAGAGTATAAAGAATCTGAGAGCACACTGAAAAACTGGTGTTGGAGTGACAGAGGGAATCAAACGTGTGTTGTGGTAGGTGCTGTGTATGTAGCTATTAGTGTGTTAGCAAATTAGCCACTCATTTGCGTAGTTTTCTTCGGTATTTCTTGGTTCTGATTTAGCGGCACAACAGATAGAAATAAAAACCGTAACCAGTTTCACAAGTCCGGACCAGCGTGGAACGGTACACTATGGGCCTGAGAACCATTTGGCTTGACAGTGGAAAAGAGACCAGAATGTATTTATTTGAAGAGCAACGTTGTTGTGTTTGTTTCCAATTTCAAACATTTCTACAGTGAGAATTTCAGACACTGCTTAAAGGCTCAACTTACACTGTAGAAAATCTTGCCTGCTCCTTGGCTCTGAGAGTAATAAAGGAGCTGGTGCAGCTGTGGAGACACAAGAATAGAATAGAATAGAATAGAATAGAATAGAATAGAATAGAATAGAATAGAAGAGCCAGCAGGAAGCTCCTCTTACCCTGTGGAGGGATTTTCTTGAACTCCTCTCGGCAGAACTCCTCTAGTCTCTCCTTCAGATCAGAGAGAGCGCTCCTCACTCCATCAAATGAGAGATGGTGATGGACAGAGATGCTGGAGGAGTCCTCAGATCCAGAAGAGACGCTCAGTGACTGGAAACTCTACACAGAGAAAAACAGAATGGAGAAAAAGAGGAATGAAGCAGCTCAGACCAAATCAGACTAAAGATGAGCGAGTGATCAGACAGAGCTCTGTTTATTACTGTCTTCATGAACTTTAGCTGAGAGGAGTTTGATGAAGTTGATGATGAACAGGTTCCTCTGTAGATCAGTGATTGTTACCTGGAGGAAATGGATGCGATCCTCTGTGAATGAAAGCTGCTCCAGCTCAGTGTTTCTCCTCTTTAGATCAGCGATCTCCTGCTCCAGTTTCTCCGAGTGTTCCTCAGCTGCACTCAGTTCAGCCTCCTCCTGAGCTCTGATCAGCTCTGTTAGCTCAGAGCGCTTTTTCTCAATGGAGCAGATCAGTTCAGTCCAGATCCTCTCAGTGTCCTCCACTGCTGTCTGAGCACAGCGCTGTTAGAGCACATACAGAGAGCACATATAGAGCTCCATTTAAAGGAGGACTTCAGTAGAACATCTCATTACACACTTTCACTCCTCACAGTCAGTGTAGTCCATCAGTTCAGACGGGTTTAGTGTCTGAGGTTTGATTACTCAGGTCTGCACTAAAAGTAAGTGTTTAAATGTGGTGAATGGCTATGCTAGGCTACTAAAAGTCAAATTTAGCTTGTGTTCCCTTTGTTCAGAAAGTAACATCTAAACTTAAATGTTGTTTACAGATCATTTATGAGTGGCCAATTCACCCTGATCTGCTGGTCAATACAGACATGTGCTTGTTATTCACTGTGACAAAACACAGAAATGTGGACTGATAGATGCTCTTCGGTTTGCCGTTCGAGCTGCAACGCTCCGGTTTAAAACTCCAGGAGAGCTGGAGGAGAGTAACAAGTAAATTCTGAGGAAAATGTCTCCAGCAGCTGAGAAACTTTAGAACTTTAGATACTTTTGAGACTTTAGATAAGTCAACAACATCCATAAAAGATAATTGGGAGATAATGTCTGGACTGGCCGATCACGTCATGTGTTAACACATGTTAACGCATGTTTAGCTCAACGCTAACACCAAACACAATCTGAATCATCTCCAGACACCGTGACTGGCATCAAAACGTAATAGAACCTGCATGCTATCTGTGAAGAAAGTTCAAAAGAACACATCAGTGAAAATAAATAGAAAACATGTTTTTGTTCTCACAATGTTAAACCTCAATCATGACTCATGACTGTATGACTTATAGTTGTCCATATAATGATTCAGAAATATATGGGAACATATTCTAGACTTTATTCAAATTCAAATGCAAATTTGAAAATGCTGAATAAATTGTGTATTTACAATTGCATTTCTCATATGAGTGTACATTATTTAAGACAATTCAAAAACAAAATGTATATTTGCATTTGAATTTCTGTGCATAATAGCTGTTAGAATTCAAATTCAAAAACAAAATATGTATTTAGAATTTCATTTTTATTGTCTTAAGTGACTGATTCTGACACATTAAAAAAACAACCACCAATCCTGTTTGAAACTGTCAAGAGCCACTCTTGTCAATCAAACGTAGGTGAGACATCAGTAGGGACTTTTGAATGTGGGACATGTTTTAAAAGGAAGTGATGAATCTACACTTTAGCAGTAACAGAGCAAAGCTAGCCAAACCAGCAAAAGCAACTACTGGGTGACACTCTAACACTTGCTAACCAGGCTGAGAATAATTCTGTCCAAAGTGATTGTTGTGTAGAAGTGACTCTTAATCAACTAGAAGAACTTGAAATGTTCTACTGTAGATAAAGCTGAAGGCAGCTTCTTTTTTTTTCCCATTCAAACTTAAATTGTACATAATGTAACTGCTGCACCATGTAAGGTTGAATGGGGAAATTTGATTAAGAAGCCATCTACAATAGTGCATATTTATAGGTAGCTCCCTACATAAAAGTGGAAGGAGAATATTTTCAGGCAGAGGCTCTCAGGACTGTTTGGAAGAGCTGAACAACCAAGGATGGTGTAGTGTTCAGACCCCATCGTGGAATGTCCTGAGCTCATCCCTGCCTCCTTTGTCTCCTGAAGCAGCCCATGCAGTTAGGAGGCACCTGTCTTTCTTGCCAGGAATGCGAGTCTCGCATGCAACATCTCCCTAGCCAAGACCCTGAATCTTCCCTTGGTAACCTTCAAGAGACCAGTGCCATTGATGGTCATCCCTTGGGGGCCGGACGGGTTACCCAACAAACCCGCCTGATCAAACTTCTAATAGGGCAGCACCGTGGAATAATTTTTTCATGCTCATCCAGGCACCAGAGTTGCAGCTAGTTTTGGTGTTTCCCTGGCTGCAACAACATAATCTGTGTCTGGATTGACTGACTCGGTCTGTGGCTGGCTGGGGTCCTCAATGCAGGGTTTCTTGCATCAAGATTCCTGTATCAATCCCACCCCCGTTTAGGGCTCCTACCACATATCCTGATCTAAACAAGATCCCTGCTGAGTACCACTACTTGGTGGAGGTATTGAGTAAAGGCAAGGCCTACTTCTGCACAGGTCTGACTGTGCTATCAAACTCCTCACTGGAATGAAAGGGAGGGGGAGGCTCTTCTCTCTCTCAGGGTCTGAGAAGACGGCCATGGAGGAGTACATTAAGGAGGCACTTGCTCTGGACTTCATTCACCCTTGGTCCTCTCCAGCGGGAGTCGGTTTCTTCTTTGTAGGGAAGAAGGACGGCAGCCTTTGACCCTGCATAGACTACAGGGGAAATCACAATCAAGGATCACTACCCACTGCCTCTGATGACCTCAGTCTCGGTGGCACTGTAGCAGACATCCATCTTTACTAAGTTGGACTTGCGCAGTGACTATAATCTAATTTGAGTTTGCCAGGGAAACGAGTAGAAGACAGCAGTGCTTCAGCTCTGCCCGCATGAAACTGCAAGCTGAAGCACCATGATGAGAAAATGCAAGTGATTATTTCATCACATCTTCTGGCCATTATGAGTACCTTGTACCTTGCTGTTTGGGTTGATGAATGCTCCAGCTGTCTTACAATGATTCATAAACGAGGTCCTTCACCAGGCTTGCTCCAGCCACTTTCCCTACCTTTGTGGCCATGGAATTTCTATAGACTTTATCATTGAGTTGCCAGAGTGCCAGGGCAACATGGTGATCATGGTAGTCTTAGACCACTTCTCAAAGGCCTGCAAGCTCATTGACTTGCTGAAGCTGCCCTCGGCAAAAGAAACCATTGCGTTGTTGTTACAACATTTGGTGAGGGTCCATGTTTTCCCTTCGGACATCGTTTCTGATTGTGGACCCCACTTCTCTAGATGCTTCTGGAAGGCATTCTCTTAATTAATCAGGGCCTCCATTATTTTAAAATTGGGCTTCCATCCTCAGTCCAGTGGGCAGGCTGAGAGAGTAAATCAGGATCTCGAACGGACCCTCAGGTGTTTGGCCTCTTCACGACCCACCACATGGTCTGAGAACATGTTCTGGGCCCAGTATGCCCATCACTTCCTTTGTCACTCTTCTGTGGGCATGTCCCCAGCGTGTGGGCTTCACATACTGTCCTGGGCAGTGGATGTGTCTTTCCACTAGGGACCTACCATTCAAATTGGAGTCCTGGAAACTCGCCTCACAATAAATGGGACCTCTGAAAATAGTAAAACGGATTAATCCAGTGTCGTACCAGCTCTTTCTCCCCTGAACCATGTGGATAAACCCGACGTTCCATGTCTCGAGGCTGAAACCTTTCCTCTGTAGTCCCCTGAACTCTCCTATCCCTGCGCCACCACGGATAACCGCCAGCTCCCTGGCTTATACTGTATGGTGGTTACTGTATCCCCACCGGGTATGGGGTAGAGACAAATACCTGGTAGAGTGGGAGGGTTATGGGCCGGAGAAACGATGCTGGATACTGGCCAGGCACGTCTTGGACCCAGAGCTTATTAGAGCTTTCAAGAGGGATCAAGAAGCTGGTTTGGGAATGTTGGGAGACATTTCTAGGAGAGGGGGGTTACTGTAACATCCAGGCAAACTGCTGTTTTTGAGCCCATCTTCCATTGTCCCCCAGTTGGTTCATCCCTTAGTGTTGGAACATAAAGGTTGTAAGTTTTAGTCTCACTCAGGGTGAAACCCCTGGCGCATAACACATGGATATTCTCATTAAGGAGGTGCAGGGCCACTGTGGGTTAGTGCATTGTTTCCCAACCCTGCTCCTAGTCGTTTGAAAATCACTTCCACACGAATACCATTTTGGACAAGATTATCCTCAGCCTGGTTAGCGAGGGTTAAAATGTCATTAGCAGCGGTTGCTAATGCACCAGTACCGCCAAAGTTTAGATATGTCACTTCTTCTTAATACACAGCTCGGAGGAGAACCTGACTGAGCTCTGAAATATCAAATCTCTGCTCAGTCCTCACCTTAAGAGTGTTCACAGCCTGTTCAGCTCCTGCAGCTTCTTCTGCTTCTCCTGGATCCTCTGCTGGACTTCTCTCTGCATCTCCTTCAGCTCCCTCTGTCAACAAACACACTGTATGACTGAGAGAGGGAAGGTTTAGGGAGGCACCTGACAAAACTTTAATTCATGACTTCAAGGTCAAAGATCACATCAGTTTTTTTCGAAAGGTCAAAAGTCACATATGCTAGTAACTGTTATTGAGTTTTACTTGATTGATGTTAATAAAAAGCAGAGGTGTGTCCTGCAGGGACGTGTCCATGTGTAGGTTAAAGGTCACCCACGTCTGGTGTTGAATCCTCTAGACTTTCTGTCTCTCTCACACATCCCATTATAAACTTTAGGGACCTGTTCGCTGGCCAAGGTCAAAGTTCAACAAAATAAAATGCCTAAACAGATTACATCTGTGTTAAAACCATCCATTATTTTTTTCTGAGATTATCTGACATCCAGTGTATTTAAAGGCTTTTCTGCTGAATGATACAACCACACGCTGTTTTGTGCATGAACGGTAGAGTGTGTGTGTGTGTGTGCGTGTGCGTGTGCGTGTGTGTGTGTGTGTGTGTGTGTGTGTGCGTGTGTGTGTGTGTGTGTGTGTGAGTGAAGAGAGTGGTGGAGTGGGGTGAATGTACATGTTCTTGTCCTGCTATACTTGTGAGGATCATGTTTAGGACAACATGTCATTTTTGATCAAGTGAGGACATTTTGTTGGTCCTCAATTCAGCATGTGTTGTTTTCACCACAGATTATTTTTATTTTTGTTTTTTTGTGTGGACGCTTTGACCAGCTTGTGCTTTTTTCACTGTGAGTTTTCAAAAGGAGGCCAGACACATCAGACAGGAGAGAGGGAGTGGGAGAGGGAGAGAGAGAGAGAGAGAGAGAGAGAGAGAGAGAGAGAGAGAGAGCAGCACTCTGACTTCAGCGTTGTTTTCCCTGAGCTGTCTGTGAGTCACTTGGTTTAAGTGAGGTAGAGAGGGGGAGGAGAATGGGAGAAAGAGGAAGGACACCATTGGTCTGGTGGACTTTTAGAACTGAATAGACAAATATATATATATATATAAGATGCTTTAAATTTCTACATTGAATGTTTATGTATGTTTGCATTAAAGATCCATCCGTCTGTGGTTGCACAACATTTATCATCCACTCTCAAGTCCTTCTATCCAAGGCATCACTGTGTATACTTTATCAGAAACTCCTCCCTTTAAGCTCCGCCTGGTGTTTGTTGATGCCCATTTGTTGATGTACAGTTGATGTTAGCCATGCTCAGCTAATCAACAGTTTCTGACCACAGAGCTGTTCTTGGCTGAATATTGCTGGTGGTGCACCACCCTCAACCTGGCAGTAACGATGACATGTGAAATCCTCAGCAACACATCAGTGCTGTTTTGAGAAACATCACTTTTCAGCATATATCAATGCTGATTCCATTTATATCTATATAAAATGAATATTTGCTCACAGCAAAGAGGGCTTGGGTTCGGCTCCCCAGCTGGGCAACCAGGATGTTTTCTGTGTGGAGTTTGCATGTTCTCCCTGTGTCTACATGGGTTTCCTCACCTAGACATGCAGTCAGGCCAAGTTGGCCAAGACATGGCTAAGTTGGCTAAGCTAATGGTGTGTGTATATTGATAAGAGGCTGATCATACACATCCATTCACAGGTGTTAGTGACAGCCTTCAAAAGCTAAACTTAACTATTACTACTAGTCGCTAATAAATCTGTGCCATATGTAAAAGTTTAATATTTGTTTTTTTTCCAGGAAAGACAAATATTAAACTCTCACATGTGGCACAGATTGATTAGCGCATTTTTGGCACTTTGCTAAAAAAGTTTAAACTGACCTAATCCAGCTCTCCACCCATCCACCACTCAGAAGAGTGACAGATGAAAAGAAGTCCTTCCTATTTCTCCATCAACCTAGGAAAAATATGATTTTTGCTTTGTTTGGTCACTTTTGAACAGACATCATAGCTTTAAAGCTGCTAGCTGGACAGATCCATTATCCAGCTGCTGGAGGCCGATTAGGGCACTTTGTCCTTCAGCTACACACAAATACATGTTTTGTAGTTCATTCAGCAGCTTTATTGATCTGGACACCCTGAGGAGACATAATTTGTGAAATTCTGACTGGAAGAAAATCAATCAGCCCAAAAAGTTGCTAATGGCTGTTTTCCAGCTGGCTAATTTCCAACATCCAGTGGGGGGATGGAGGGGTGGGCTGATCCCAGAAGCCTGTCCCACATCAGTGCTACCAAACTGTGGTGGATGATTCTCTAGTTTGGTTGATCTTCCTTCATCATCACAGACACCAGACGGGCAGAACTGAAGCCAACATGCCTCCTCTGATGGTCCACCGTCTCTCTGAGAGGGTCTGAACCAGCAGCTCCTCTGTGAACTGAATCCAGTCTGATTTAAAAAAAATTTAAATCAAATATACTCCATAACCTTCATCACATTATAGAAGCAGACAGCCTTGTACACTCCAATTCCAAAAAAGTTGGGATACTGTGTTAAATGTAAATAAATGTAAATAAAAACAGAATGCAATGATTTGCAAATCTTATAGACCAATTGCTGGAGTTTTGGGAGAGGAATATTGTCCCATTCTTGTCTAATGTAGGATTCTAGCTGCTTAACTGTCCTGAGTCTTCTTTGCCAGATTTTTCGTTTCATGATGCGCCAAATGTTTTCTATTGGTGAAAGCTCTGGACTGCAGGCGGCCAGTTCAGCACCTGGACTCTTCTTCTGCGAAGCTATGCTGTTGTGATGGATGCAGTATATGGTTTATCATTGTCTTGCTGAAATATACAAGACCTTTCCTGAAAGAGACACTGTCTGGATGGGAGCATATGTTGTTACACCCTTATTACTATTACTGTCCTGTGTTACACCCTTGTTACTATTACTGTCCTGTGTTACACCCTTATTACTATTCCTGTCCTGTGTTACACCCTTATTACTATTACTATACTATTACTGTCCTGTGTTGTGTGACTGCTACTGGCTGCTAAATTTCCTTAGGGATCAATAAAGTATCTATCTATCTATCTGTCTATCTATTTATCTGTCTATCTATCTATCTATTTATCTATCTAAAATCTCTATATACTGTTCAGCATTGATAGAGCCTTTCCAAATGTATAAGCTGCCCACGCCATAGGCACTAATGCAGCCACAGACCATCAGAGATGCAGACATTTGAACTGTGCGCTGATAACAACCTGGATGATCCTCTTGAGTCCGCAGGACACGGCGTCTGTGGTTTTCAAAAAGAATTTTAAATTTTTATTCATCTGACCACAGAACAGTTTTCCATTTTGCCCAGAGAAGATGGCGCCATTTCTGGATTGTGTTGACATATGGCTTCTTCTATGCATGATACAACTTTAACTTGCGTTTGTGTATTTCACAACGAACTGTGTTCAAAGACAATGATTTTTGGAAGTGTTCCTGAGCCCATGCAGTGATTTCCAGTACAGGATCATGCCTGTTTTCAATGCAGGGCCGCCTGAAGTCCTGAAGATCACATGCATACAATACTGACCATCAGCCTCGTCCCTTGTATACAGGTATTTCTCCAGATTCTCTGAATTTTTCGATGATATTATGTACTGTAGATGGTGGGATATTTAAAATCTTTTTAAATTGTATGTTGATGAACATTTTTATGAAATTGTTCCCCAATTTTTAGATGCAGTTTTTCTCAGATTGGTGAAGCTCTGCCCATCTTTGCTTCTGAGAGACTCTGCCTCTCTAAAACGCTCTTTTTATATTCAGTCATGTGAGTTAGTTGCAAATTGCTCCTCCAGCTGTTTTGTTGCCCCATCCCAACTTTTTTGAGATGCGTAGCTGCCATCAAGTTCTAAATTAGGTAATGTTTTTCATGAAATGGTAAAATGCCTCACTTTCAACATCTGATGTGTTCTATGTGCTATTGTAAAATACTGGGTCTATGAGATTTGCAAATCATTGCATTCTCTTTTTATGTACATTTATGTACATTTTACACAGCATCCCAACTTTTTTGGAATTGGGGTTGTACCTTTAATGGGGGTGGAAATCATGTCTCTCAGGTGTTGAGAGGTGATGGAACTCCATGGAACCCAAATGGAAGAACCTGATACTGCCATTGTCCCCCTGAGGTAGAGAAGCCTTTTTCTGTCAGGTTTCAGGAATGAGGGTGATCAGTAGCCTTTATTAGTCCCAGAGAATAAAAGTGTAAAATATTGCATGTTTATCTGACAGTAAATTGAGTGAAATGGGTTTTATATGTGCAGGCCATGTGGTAGACTCTCATAGCTCACTAATACATTTTGTATGGAGATGCATTGTACTGCTGGATCTGCATCCAAGGAATGCTGGTGTGGCAGAGTGGACCAATGGATGCATGGAAATCTTGCCAGCTCAATTATGCTTGCTAGGTTAACCTTTCCTTGGTGGTTAGCTTTGTTCGACTCGAAAGGAGAGAAAGAGACAGTTAGGGAACACAGTTTTGTTGTGTGGGCAGTACAAACCACATCAGCCTTTTGATTGGTGAGGATGCTGCTTATGTAAGCACTATCCGAGATTAAAAGTACCCAGTTTATACTGAGTGAAACAATTGATTTGAAATGATAAAGTTATTCACAGGACAGACTACACATGTAGTATATTGTGACTCTCAAGAGGAAGATTAACCTACTTAGAAAGAAAACATTCTCTAAACTGAAAAACAAGCCATCCTTAGCCTATCTGATGAGGTCGTCCACTCAGGGGAGGGGTCGGGGGTCAAAGTCTGAAAAACCATTCAGCACATGAAATTGTTACAAAACCTCCAGAAACTGGATCAGTGGTTATGACATGGTTTGATGCCCACCCCCCATTGCAGCATTTTCCTAATACTACCATTCAGGTCAGTACAGTGTTACTGTAGTAGAGTTACTTTCTCTGAGCTATAGAAGGTCAGTATAGTGTCTGTTTCTCTGAGCTATAGAAGGTCAGTATAGTGTATGTTTCTCTGAGCTGTAGAAGGTCAGTACAGTGTTAGTTTCTCTGAGCTGTAGAAGGTCATTATAGTGTCTATTTATCTGAGCTGTAGAAGGTCAGAGTACTGTTTGTTTCTCTAAGCTGTAGAAGGTCAGTATAGTATCAGTTACTGAGCTGCAGAAGGTCAGTGTACTGTCCGTAGAGGGTCAGTATTGTGTCCATTTCTCTGATCTGTAGAAGACCAGTATCATGAAGGTAGACGAGTCTCTTATGTGGGAAGTAATGCATCCATTAAGGGTCTCGTCCAATCATAGTGAGGTAGTGGCTTTTACAGATTGCAGAAGAGGAGCTGAAAAGCGTTTTTGGTACAGACCAAGTTTTTTCTTTCTCTTTCATACTGTATTTAACTCCAGGCTTTTCTATTTATTATTATCCTTTTTCTCTGAATGCCAGCTGTTTAGAGAACCGTTCAGGTATGGTTTGCTGTGGATGGAAATCAGAGCAGTAGAACACATGTTAATAAGCTTCCCGGACAAAAAATGAGTCACTTTGTGTGCTTAAGCTGGTGACCAATTTTTGGTCGAGAGAGCTTATGAATAAAAATCAATTCCAGGCAAAAATTGCATCTAGAAGTCAACACAGGCCCTTCACAACCAATTTCTGAAAGAACTGTTCGCAGGGCAGCGATTTTTTATTCACAAGCCGTGAAACATGCTGGTTGTCCCTGTCTGTCAGTTTTGTCTTTCAGCCACAATTCCGATGAAAATGTCCTGTAGACTGGGATTGTTGCCACTGATGGTAGACCCGTATGACTGTACGCTTCGATAAATATGCAAATTTATCTTCTTCCTTCATATTGTGGCCTTTAGCATGGCCAAATGCAATCACTCCTTTTTGTCAATCATTAACATCTGCTTTGCAACCCATTTTCAACACATCGAATGAGACAATTATTGCACTGTACCACCTCTTCTCAATATATGAATCCTGTCGCACACCCCGCAGGTATTTATAGCCTGGTCATCCTCGTGCAATGCCATCTGCAGGAGCCTAAAGTTACTACCACCTCAAACATGCAAGTTCTTTGCACTATTTTTTTTATTTTACCTGGAAAAATAAAGCATCCACTAAATTGTCTAAATGTGGCACTTTCTAGATAACATTAGCTTCAGCTGAAAATCTGTTTGTGTGTTTTCTTCTCTCTCTCTCTCTGGGTAAATATTAGAATGTGTATAGTCAGTTTCTGCTGTTGTTTCTTACAGTCTACACTAAAACACAGCAGCAGTAAAGGGTTCAGGACAGTGTTCCTCCCTAAAGAACCCGTCCGTCTCTCCTCATGAGCAGAATCACTGTGTGCCCAGTAGAGTGAGGCTGGCACGGGCATGCCCGCCACTCAGCCGCTGGCACAGTTCATTGTGCTTTCAGCTGTACCTCTGCCAAGGCTTTTACATTTTACACAAAGACCCGACTTCAAACCAGGACTCATTCATCACCAAACACGCTTTCTGAAATACCATTTTTACTGTGACAGGAAACATTTGTCCTCAACAGTGTTCAGATGTTTTGAGCAAATAGTAGAGTGAAAACATTTTGCCTCACCAGGTACAAAAAGTACTTTCAAACTCAGAGAGCTCCACTACTGATGAAAAGATAACATTTAACTCTTCATTTGAGGCCTCTTCAGAAATTACCATTAGATTAGATTATATTTGTTTCACACACATTTTGCAGTTTTACAAAAAGTTTTTTTTTTTGCAGTTTTACAAAAATAACAGTCATGAAATCGTTATGCTTTCAGTTTTGTTATCCACAGTCAGTTTTTGTCCAAAATCCCACATGTTCAAAGGACACAAGGTACCGTGTCCCCTGCCAGGGTGAGGGTCACTGGGACCTACCCCGGGAACCAGGCCTGGGGTAGTGTTCTTCACCAAGTGCTTTGGGGCTGGTAGCCATGTAACCTGGCCGGACCCAGCCCGAAAATGCAATGTGGGAGATCATGTGGGCCCACCACCTACAAGGTCCAGCATAAGGGACCAGTGCAGTGCCAAATAAGTGGTGGTAGATGGCAGGTAGGTCCTTGGTGGCTTGGCCCCTGCAACGGAAACTGGCTCTAGGCATGTGGGCAGAAGTAGCTGGAGCTTGTGTAGGAGGTTGAGAGGTATCAACTAGAAATATTTGGGCTCACCTCCACTCACATTGTTGGCCCTGGAACCAAACTCCTTAATAGGGGTTGGTCCCTCTCCTATTCAGGAATTGCACAGGGTGAGAAGCGCTGGGCAGGTGTGGGGATACTCACAAGCACCCAGCTGGCTGCCATGCAGTTGGAGTTTGACCCAGTGGGTGAGAGGGTCACCACAATGTAAAATAAAATTGCAGGGAGGAAAACTCTTGATTGTTGTGTGTGCTTAGGCACCAAACAACAGTTTGGAGTATTCAGCTTTCTTGGAGCAAGTGGGGTTCTGAAATCGACCCCATCTATAGACTCCATAGTGTTACTGAGAGACTTTAATGCTCATGTTGCTAATGACTGGGAAGCCTGGAGGGGGTGATCAGGAAGAACAGCTTGCCCAATCTAAACCCGAATGGTGAATTGTTATTGGACATCTGTGCTAGTCATATATTGTCCACAATGAACACCACGTTCGAACACAAGGACATTCAGAAGTGTCCTTGGTACCAGAGCTCCTTGGGTCAAAGATCAATGATCTCTGTTTGGAATGATTACAACTCCCACCTTCAGGAGAACTTTTCTCATGTGCTGGAGGAGGTAGAGGACAGGAAGTGCAAACAGACCCTGTTAAAACCTCTATTTTGGAAGCTGCCAGGCATACCTGTGGCCAAAAGCTTGTTGGTGCCTGTTATGGTGGCACCCCAAGAACCCCCTGGTGGACATCAGTGGTAAGGGAGGCCGTCAAGCTGAAGAAAGAGGCCTTTAGAGACTGGCTGGCCTGGAGGACTCTCAACTCAGCAGACAGGTACTGATGGCCAAAAAAGGCAGGTCCTCCGAGAGTATGGGGTGTGAGGGCCACTACTCTGTTAGACTCCACCAAGGTTGTGCCTTGTGTCCACTCCTGTACATGATATTCATGGACAGAGTGTCAAGTCATAGCTGAGGTCAGGAGAACATTATGTGTGGTGGCCGGAGGGTGGCACCTCTGCTTTCTGCAGATGATGTACTTTTGGCTCCATCACATGGACACTTCCAGTGCTCATTGGAGCGGCTTACAGGTGAGTGTACAGTGGTTGGTATGCAGATCAGCACCTCCAAGTCTGAGTCCATGGTTCTAGTCCAGAAAAAGACGGCATGCCTACTCCAGGTAAGGGGAATGGACCTGCTCGGGGTCTTGTTCGTGAGTGATGGGAAGAGGGATCGTGAGATCGGCTGCAGGCTGGGACAGGCGCTAGCAGGAATGTGGTTGCTGTACTGGATTGTAGTGGTGAAGAGAGAGCTGAGCCATAAGGCAAAGCTCTCTGTTTACTTGTCAGTCTACAGCCCAATCTTCATCTATGGTAATGAGCTTTGGATAATGACTGAAAGAATAAGATTGTAGATTCAAGTGATAGAAATGAGCTTTCTTTCCAGGGTGGCATCCTACATTATACTTTATAAGGTGAGGAGCTTTGTCACCTAGGAGGAGCTGAAAGTAGAGCCACTACTCCATATTGAGAAAAGTCAGTTGAGGTAATTTGGGCATCTGATTAGGATGCCCCCTGGCCACCTCCCGTTGGAGGTTTACCAGGCATGGCCTACTGAGACAAGACCCTGAGGTTTCTAGGGCCTGCTGAGGTTTCTAGGACCCGCTGGAGGGACTGTATCTCTAAGTTGGCCTGGGAACAGCTCAGGGTCCCTCAGAATGAGCTGGATGAAGTTGTGTGGGACAGGGTTGTCTGGGATTTTATGCTTCTCAGCGTTGTCTGGGATTCTATACTTTCTCTACTACTGGCTTATTATAAATAACGCAATAAAAGCAGCAATAAATGTATGTGTGTATGTAGAGTTCAGTGGAGTTTAATGAATGATATGTATGTGTGTGTGTGTTAACCAGAGTTCAACCAGTCAGAGTGATGGGAAGGGGCAGTGTGCGAAAGAATCATTTACAAGCCTGTTGGCCTATGGTTAGAAACTTTTTGTCAGTCTAGTTGTCCCGGACTTCACACTCCTGTAGCGTCTGCCTGATGGTAGAAGTGCGAAGAGTCTGTGTTGGGGATGTGTCCTGTTGAGTGCCCTCTTGATGACCCTGGTGTGGTAAATGTCTTGTAGTGAGGCAAGGCTGCTCCTGAAATGGATTGTGCAGTTTTGAACACATGCTGGAGAGCCTTCCTGTCTGGAGCAGCACAATTTCCATACCAGATGGCAATGGAGCTCGTATGGGCACTCTCAATCATACACGTGTAGAAGCTGCTGAGAATTTTGGCTGGCATAGCACATTTCCACATCCTTCTTAGAAAGTACAGTCTTGCTGGACGTTCTTGATGCTTTGATGTGTGTTGTGAGACCAGATGAGATCCTTACTGATGTGAACACCAAAGAATTTAAAGTTTTTCACCCCCTCACCACCTTTGTCTCACCTATGTATAATGATGTGTACAGCTCCTCCCTTCTCACTTAGAGAGTTTGTGTGGGATGACCGAGTTGAATGCTGTGCTGTAGTTAAAAGACAGCACTTTAACACAGGTGTCCTAGCTCTCCGGGTGTGTGGGGACTGTGTGAATTGCAGTGCTGACTGTGTCATTGGTGGACCGGTTCTGATCATTTGTAAATTGCAAGGTGTCTGGAATGGTCTCCTGGATGTAAGTCATGACTATTCTATCAGAACACTTCATCACAATTGGAGTGGGTGCATTAGGATGACCATTTAAGTCATTTAGACAGGTCACTGTGCTTTTCTTGGGGAGGGGCACAATGCTGGTGGACTTGAAGCAGGTGGCCACACAAGCTTGCATGGGAACAAATTGAATATGTCTGCAAACACTTCAGCCAGCTCTGATGAGCAAATCCTGAGCACACCCTCAGGAATGCTGTCTGGGGCATCTGTCTTCTGTGAGTCTGTCCTCCTCAGAGCCTAAAATGTAAACAGCCAGTATAAACATTGCACTCCCTCGGCAGATAAAAGGATCTGCACTTCACCATTAACAGTTCTATGTAAACTGAACAGTGTTTTTCGGAAGTCTGTATGTCTGAACACCACCTTTTGTTCACACAGATGCAGATGCAGACGTCTCTGTTATTTCATTTAATTAGTTCATTTCTGTTAGTTCATGGTGAACTTAACCAATATCTAGGAGTACTGTATCTTACTGTTGTATATGTGAACTGTACATTTAAGATAAAGACTACTGCTAAAATAAATAAGAAATAATGGTGTTGGGAGGATGACGCAAAGATGTCTGCCATGGTGGGTGCCACCTTGGAAAGTTTATTGCGACCCTTATCAACTAGCTAGTCCTGACATGTAAGGAGTAACCAAAACATCCTGATACAAAACAGCCTGTCTCTTTGCAAACATAAAAGAGAGTAGAAGACATTAATTTTGATTGATGAGTCACAAATATTACATGACATGCATCTGTCAAGATGATAAGAATGATATGGCTAGCTACTGTCAGCTACATGAGAATCACTCTTGCTGCAACCGTGGTTACTATGAATGGACTGAGGGAAACCAAACAAACTGAATCAATGACAGCCTCAGCCTCTGGACCCTTTGGTCAAATAATCAGTAATGTGATGTCCCAGCTGGCCACACATTCAGCACTGGAAGCCCTGTGCCAATCTGTGGCAGCAGGTACTGCCAATCTTCGGATCAAGACTATTACCGGTTTCCCTGTCTGTCTTCGGTAGTTACAAAACTCAGATCTGAGAAACTCAGGCCAGAAGCACTGCCCAAAATGCCTCCAGAACACCCTGGCAAAGGCTCTGTAATCAGATATCTTGCTAAGATCTAGCAATAGTAGGCAATCTAATGCATATCAGTCAAACAAAGCATCAGCTTCAGGGCTTTCTTTTTGTCAGACAAATCAAAGATTTGGCTACCAGTGCATGAAAAGCCTCCCAAACCACTTTACCAGGTTATTTTGGAGTCTTAACAGATGGTCATTACCATCTTTGTTTATATCTGCATCTAGATTTCCTACTGACATCATGGAAGCCAAGACTGATGCTCAAAATTTCCTTCATATATATATATATATATATATATATATATATATATATATATATATATATATATCCATCAAACAGAGGTTTTCTCCTTCTCCTCCTTCTCTTTTTCTCCTCCCCCCTCTCTGGCACTTTAACCAACAGATAAACCAGGAAGTGACTTGCACGTAGTTCAGAGAAAACGAAACTGATCTCAGAGTGCTTCTCTCTATCTCTCTCTCTCTCTCTCTCTCAGCGTAGACGGTCAGGAGAATGGCAGAGGCCAGTATTTCAGTAGATCAGGACCAGTTCAGCTGTCCAGTCTGTCTGGATCTGCTGAAGGATCCAGTGACCGTTCCCTGTGGACACAGTTTCTGCATGGTGTGCATTAATAGCTGCTGGGATCAGGAGGATCAGAGGGGGCTCTACAGCTGCCCCCAGTGCAGAGAGACCTTCACTCCGAGGCCTGTTCTACGCAGAAACTACTTTATCGCTGAAATGTCGGAGAAACTGAAGAAGACAGAAGTCCGAGCTGCTCCTCCTGCTGGATCTGGAGATGTGGAGTGTGATTTCTGCACTGGGAGGAAACGCAAAGCTGCAAAATCCTGTCTGACGTGTCTGGCCTCCTTTTGTGAAGATCACATTAAAAATCACAGTGAAATACCTGCTTTAAAAAAGCACAAGCTGGTCAAAGTGTCCACACGACTACAAGAGAAGATCTGCTCTCAACATGATGAAATGATGAAGATCTACTGTCGCACTGACCGAAGCTGCATCTGCTATTTGTGTACATTAGAGAAACACAAAGGCCACGATACAGTCTCAGCTGCAGCAGAAAGACCCCAGAAACAGGTGAGAACTACAGACCTTCTGGATCTAAATGAAGCTAAACTGCATCAGCTGAAGGATTTAAACTGTCTCAGTTCTTGAGTTTAATGGGGTTTGTGTGTAAAGAATGTGTGTAAAGTGTTGTGGATGAGGAAGTGTTGAATAAACTCTTTCTTCCTCAGCAATAGTAATAAAGTCAGAGCAGTCTGTGAATGTTTTACCAGCCAACACCATCTTCAGCCTTATAGTGCTCACATGATGGTGTGAAAGCTCTGTAAAACAACAGTGAACTTCACTACTGAATCACTCCACACTGACTCACCGACAGCATGTCTGCTCATGTTCTGGATTTCCATGAAACAATGTAAGGAGAAACTTTCTAAGCCAAATAGTTTTAAAATTATGTTCTGTGAACGTTTGCTCTATTACACTGTAAAAAATGATATCTTGGCAAATGAAATGATTTGAAATCTAGTGAATATATAAAATATTACTCATTCTCAAATCTGTTTTGTCTTGTAAAATTTTTCTATTTGATTAATAATTTTTATCAAGTGAAATTTTCACTAAACTGACAGATAATTTTGCTTGTTTCAATGCTTTAATAAATGTCTAGAAATAAATTAAATTTTCTATAATAATGTGGTAATGTTTCACGCTATTAAAAGAGACACAGCTTTCACAAAAGTTGTAGTACTTTATTAACCAATTGTTGTTGGCCACAGCCAAGCCATACATAACCTCATCTTTTTTCAAACAGTTGTTCTAGCCTCAGCTCATGTCTGATTTTCTCAGCTCTCAGCTCCTGACTGCTCTCAGTTCTTGCTGCTCTTACATACTCGCTGGACAACCTAGCCCCACCCCTCAGAATGATAGTCCTTAGCAGAATGACCCCATGAATAAACTTTTCAGAACCCATAACCTAAAATTAACATGTAAAGCACTTCTTAAACATACTACAATATTATAACAGTGAAGAAGAAGAATCAACTGAAGCCATGATTCTGATCAGAAAACAGCTTTTTAATGAACAACAGGCAGAAACAGGCACATACATAACTCTGAACCCACAGGGGAATGTGGGTGGGCGAAGATGCATGCCTGCCATATAGGTATGAGCAAAAACTCATGTACTCAGCTCTGACCTGTTTCTCCACTGGCTTAGGCTTGCAGCATTGCTTGGGGTGATGCCCCCTTTTCCTGCATCAGCAGTATACTAGTCACTGTGATGTGGCTCACTTGGGGCCACAGGGCACACCATCTCTGCCTTAAGCTCCTGATCCAAGAACAGCTTTTTAATAAACAACAAGCAGGAACAGGCACATAATGCTGAACCCACAGGGGGGTCACCACTAACCACACAGTTTACACTACTGGTGAACCCCACACACAGAAAATACCCACATCTCTGACACACAATAACACAAACAAGTCCTTATAGGTAAGACTGTTTACTCGATGGCCAACTTGGTGACACCCCAATAAGAGGGAGCTTTTCCCAGTTACTGCTTTTCCAGTAAGCCAGTTGGCTCTTTTTCTAAAATGGTGGGATGTAACCATAAACAGATGCCATGCTGAACATTACAAGCTTTCCCATTTTTTTTATTTACAAGAGAACTATATTCCTTCATAATGTCTCTGCAATTACCTGTTTTTAACAATTATACAAATATAGGAGATAATTCCCAATCATACAGTGTGTTTGTTGACAGAGGGAGCTGGAGGAGATGCAGAGAGAAGTCCAGCAGATGATCCAGGAGAAACAGAAGAAGCTGCAGGAGCTGGAACAGGCTGTGAACACTCTTAAGGTGAGGACTGAGCAGAGATTGGATATTTCAGAGCTCAGTCAGGTTCTCCTCCAGTCAGACAGTGAGGAGCTCAGTGTTGGACACTCTGGGATTAAATTCACACACTTTCTCCTCCCATTACACCAAATGGAGTCCAGCACACAAGACATGTTTGGTGGTTCTGAAGGTTCAGCACTGGAGCTACGAGGCTAATGTAGCTAACAAGCTGATACTGTATTCTACCAGTTAGCACGTAAAAGTGTGTTAGCATAGCTGAAAGCAGTAGCAGCCGTCCAGAAGTCTTACTTTCGTCTGTGTTTCTGTACCATTTTCATAGATAACAGTAAGTTATACCAGTCCATTTGCTATCTATCAAATATTCTCTGTTTTATGGTTGTTGCTGACTTAAAGTCAAACACATCCTCATTTTCTCAGCTGGTGGAGATTTTTCTTGTGGAAAAACTCCTCTTTCTTCTCCAGCTCTCCTAAAGGCAGTTTTAATCCATGAGCATCATGGCTTGAATGGCAAACCAGAGAGCATTTGTCAGTCCACGTTTCTGTGTTTTATCACTGTGAATAACAAGCAAATATCTGTGTTGACTATTAGATCAGTATAAACATGCCACTCATAATTGATCACATACAATTTCTGTAGACAATATCTGAGTTTAGTTATTACTCTTTGAACTGGGGAACACAAGCTAAGTTTTATAAACTTACCATAGCTGTTCACTACATTTAAACACTCCCCAGACAACATGTGGATGTGGGCCATCTCTGAAAAAGTCATGGCACTGCCGGCCCATGTTCGCCACTAAACTGCGAACTAGAATATTAAACTGCAAACTACAGGTGAACCAAAAGTGGGCAACATGTCTCAGAACAGATCTGTGTCACTCCTAGCAAAGATTACCCATGCTAACATGAGCTACATAACAATCATTTATGTTTTCAACAGTGATTAACAGGATTATGGCAGAGTATAGTTTAGATTTACATCTTGACCATATATATAACCTAAAACATTTTAGCCTTTGTAACATTTTGTTTGTTATTTCAACAAAGTAGAATGTTGGGTTAAAATGCTAATTTTAGTTAGTCCAACACAGTCTGCCTCAGTACTAGGAACACTATTACATATTCTAGTTTGCAGTTTAATTCATACTTAGTTTAAAATGATTTGTGGCTGCTTAAAATTTGGTGTTGTTTGAACATCAACTAGTAAGTTAATAGAACAACAAGTCTAATAGTCTGATGTTCAATGAACTTAAACTTTTCTGCCAGGCACGTTACATATTTTAAATTAAACAAATCTTTTTCATTGTGTAGGAAACATTGTGGACGTGTAAACTTTCAAACAGAAATACTTGAGTAGTCCAATGGGCTAGGAATTTACCCCATCCTCGGGAGATCATGAGCTCAAATCCCATGAACACTACAGCCATCTTCAGCTGGTAGTCCAAGAATGTAAAGCATATCCTCTCCCTGAGCTTCATGGTCTGGTTTTTGCACTAGAGGTTTTGAGTGGTGGGACAGTTCTGGCAGTGGTGTTTTACAGGTGGCTGAGATGTGGCCCTCTAATGGCAGTAAACAGGCTGGGTTCTGGCAACCACATCTGGCCCACTCCTGTGCCATCACTCCATGTGGTATGTGGGCAGCACTTAAATCCTCCATCCAGGTTTGGGCCATAGTAAATGTGCTATCTGGGTTACGTTTTTAAAAAACAGCATTATTTCCATCAGTATATCCCTAGATTTATAACAGAAGATATCATGGAAAAGTACCATTGGTGCTAAATGAAGAGAAGATCTGCAAGTCTGAATCTCAACTGCACAGAATTTGCAGTTTTTGCTGGTTTACCTTTGAAAGCAGATACTTTCAAATGTTTACTCCAGTACTGTTTAATTGAGGGTCTTTTTACTCACAGAAAATACAGGATAAAATACAGAATAAAATAAAATATATATCCATTTTTATTCAAGCTTTACTCATGAGTATTTTTACACCACTTCTTACCTACCTTAGCTTCTTAGCTCCAGTGTTAAACTGTGAAAACAAACTTCAAACACTAAACATGTTATAATTGATGGAGTACATTTATTATAAGGGTTAAAGTGTGTAATTGACATGTTTTAATGAAGTATTCATTTAATTTAAGCTCTATATGTGCTCTAACAGCGCTGTGCTCAGACAGCAGTGGAGGACACTGAGAGGATCTGTACTGAACTGATCTGCTCCATTGAGAAAAAGCGCTCTGAGCTAACAGAGCTGATCAGAGCTCAGGAGGAGGCTGAACTGAGTGCAGCTGAAGAACTCCTGGAGAAACTGGAGCAGGAGATCGCTGATCTAAAGAGGAGAAACACTGAGCTGGAGCAGCTTTCACTCACAGAGGATCACATCCATTTCCTCCAGGTAACAATCACTGATCTACAGAGGAACCTGTTCATCATCAACTTCATCAAACTCCTCTCAGCTAAAGTTCATAAAGACAGTAATAAACAGAGCTCTGTCTGATCACTCGCTCATCTTTAGTCTGATTTGGTCTGAGCTGCTTCATTCCTCTTTTTCTCCATTCTGTTTTTCTCTGTGTAGAGTTTCCAGTCTCTGAGCATCTCTTCTGGATCTGAGGACTCCTCCAGCATCTCTGTCCATCAGCATCTCTCATTTGATGGAGTGAGGAGCGCTCTCTCTGATCTGAAGGAGAGACTAGAGGAGTTCTGCAGAGAGGAGTTCAGTAAAATCCCTCTACAAGGTAAGAGGAGCTTCCTGCTGGCTGTCTTGTTTAGCTCAATGCTGAAGATGATCCACTAAGTAAATAATACCAATTCAGTGTGGCCCTGTGGGGGTCCTGACTGCTGATGAACCACCGATGCAAAGAAATAGATGGACTATAGTTTGTAAGCGTAGAACTAAAAAGTCCATCTGTAAATAATAAGTCAGGAGTTTTCAGTCTGATCCATAAAGGGCCAGAACGGCTGTAGGTATAATACGGAATGCATGACTGATAGGGAGGGACAATTTAGCAGTTTATTTACAATGGCTAAGAAAATACAATACAGCAAACTGAAACACAGGAACAAGCCAACAAGACACAACAAAGAGCAGAAAAACAAAAAAAACTATCAACCACAAACCTGGAAGTAAACAAAGGAAGAGTAAGAAAACAAGCACGAAAGCTAAAAATAAAATGACAGCATAAATTCAAACAACAAAGGCAAAGGCTAACAAGGAGCAATTACATAGACTGGAGAAATAATGTGGAAAGGTGGAGCGAGAGTACATGGATAGGTGTAATGCTGCAGAAGGTAATGGTGAGGGGTGTGTCTATATATATCTGTGGTAATGAGCAGGGAAATGAGATCCAGGTGTTAGTACATCGGGCAAGGTGGAGCGCTGGGTGCGCACTCCTGAGATAATGTGTGAGATGGGAGCTGTCCGGCAAAACCACTCTTCTGCTGCAGGTAATCCTCGCAAGCTGGGGTCCAGGGAAAGGGGTGAGTCCTGAAGAAAAATGCACCAGGGAGTTCTGGACATATTCAGCCCAGGGGAGGAACCTACATCAATCCCCCCTGACAGTCTGCACATGACTGCACAGATACCGCCCAAGTTGCTGGTTCAGTCTCTCCACCTGGCCATTAGCTTTGGGATGATGTCCTGAGGTAACGACATCCCCAATCTCTCCACGAATGCCTCCCATATCTGGAAAGTAAACTGAGGACCCTAGTTAGAGACACTGTACTCTGGTAGAATGTGGCAGTGGAAGACTTGCTGGAATAGAGCCTCAGCTGTCGGTTGAGCCATAGGGAGTGCTGGGACAGGGATCATTCTTTTAAAGAACTGATCCACCACCACTAGTATGGTTGTATTAACTTTAGATTCTAAAAAGGTCTGTGACAAGGTCCACCAAGAGGTGTGTCCAGGGTTGGTGTGGTACAGGAAGAGGTTGAAGCTTCCTTGCTGGTATTGGTCTGGGGACCTTGAATCAGGCACAAACTGAACATGATGTACTAAGTTTCTGAACATCAGCATAAAGATTAGACCACCAATACAATCAGTGAGGAGCTGAGCTGTCATAGTTATACCTGCAAGGCCATTAGCAATTGACATGTGAACCCATGTTACAAGCTTACAACTTCTGAAATGTACAGCTTGTCACTGGGTCCGGGGGTCAGCTACCGCCGCAGTGGCGATCTCTTGGTCAATTTTCCAGAGAACTAGAGAGACCAAACTGGGGGGGTCAATGATGGGTTGGTTCTTGTTAGTAACAGAGCCTGAGTGATGGATTCTGGCGAGTGTATCTGCTGTACCATTCTTGGATTCAGGTCTGTAAAGACCTAATGAAAAAGAGAATTCACCTGGCTTGGCAAGGAGATGGGCATTGGACCCTCCTGATGTATTCCAGGTTGCGGTGCTCTGTGGAATGGATGAAAGGCCCATTCCAACAAATGACACCACTCCTCAAGAGCCAGTTTTATGGACAGGAGTTCTTGATTCCCCGTGTCATAATTCCTCTCCGCTGGAGAGAGCTTCTTGGAATAGAATACAATGAGTAACAAATTACTCATTTTAGGGAGGAACTCCCTAACACAATGACAACATGGCTCCCACTCCAATCTCTGATGCATCCATCTCAACAATGAAGGGTAACAATGAGTCCAGTTGGTGAAGGATAGGTGCTGTGGTGAACTTGTTTTTTAGAGAGGTGACTGGCTTGTCTGTAGCAGGTGACCAGAAGAGTCAGCATACTCCCTGAAGAGTACCCAGTGACTGTGCTTAAGTTCCAGATAAAATGTTGGTAGTGAAACCCAAGAACCTCTGAAAATCCTTAACCGACTGGGGACAAGGCCAATCCTGCTTGAACTGCACCTTCTACTGAAATTACATATCCTAGAAAGAAGACAGAGGATTGGTGGAACTCTCACTTCTCTTTAACAAGCTTTAACACACAGGCTGTGTTCTAGTAATCTTGCCAAAACTCACATAACTGAACTCACATGACTTATGTGCTCATCCAGGCTTCAAGAATACACCAGGATGTCATCTATTTACACTATCATATACCTGTAGAGCATGTCATGGAGCATCTCATTGACTACAGACTGGAACACAGCTGATGTGTTGGCCAAAACATATAGCATGACCCAGTACTCTCACTGGCCACTGGTTGTAGAGAAGGCTCTCTTCCACTCCTCCCCTTCTTGAATACGTACAAGGTTGTAAGCGATCTTCAGGTCTAGCTGAGTAAACAGGCATGTTCCATGCAATTGCTCCACTGTGGCTGGCACCCAGGGAGTAGTGAAACTTTTTTGTGACTCGATTAAGTCCATAGATGTCTTTACATGGTCTCAACTCTCTGTCCTTCTTGGCAACAAAAAAGAATCTAGCACAGGCATGAGACATGGATGGCTTGATGACCCCTGCCAAACAGTGAACTGGATGAATACTCACTCATCTTTGATGGACAAAAGGGTAGACGTGCAAGGGAGTGGCCCTTGACAACAGGTCAATGGCACAGTTTCATGGTCAGCAATGGTCAGAAGGCACATGGATAGGTGCAATGCTGCACAAGGGACTGAGTGAGGCATGAGTCTATATATATCTGGGGTGATGAGCAGGAAAATGAGATCCTGGTGTTAATACTCAGGAGAAGCAGAGCGTTAGGTTTGAATTGCTGATGGAGTGCTTAAGGCTGTGCGGAGAGCTTAGCCGGCTGGCCTGTTAGGACACATTACAGTAGATCTTCATTCCAATCGAGCAGGAGCTCACATGATCCACTCTTAGAAGACTGATCAGAAGCTCAGCTCCTGCTGGACTGCAAAGAAAACCTGCAGCCCTTTGTGGATCATACTGGACACTCCTGCAGTAAAATGTACAAAGAGTGTAGATAGCAGGTAGGTGGACCTAATAAAATGATTGTAAAAGTTTGTTTTTAAATATATTATGTATATTACTTATGGTCTAGTGTCATTCTCTTCTATTCCATCCTATTTTGTTTCATTGATTTGATCCTACATATCCTTGTGTCTCCACAATGGCAGCAGTTCTTTCATCACTCCCAGAACCAAAGAGCAGAGAAGATTTTCTACAGTGTAAGTGTGAGCCTTTAGGCAGCTTCTGAAGTACTCATGTAAAGATGTTTAAAGCTGGAAACAAACACAACAAATAAAATGTTTTTTCTTAAAATAAGTAGATTCCAACAAAATGCTTATTGTCTTTATTTTAATTTTATTTAGATTTCTGTCAGCTGACTCTGGATCCTAACACAACACATCACCACCTCATTCTGTCTGATGAGAACAGAGCTGTGAAGAGGAGTGATGAAGACCAGCATTACTCTGCCCATCCAGAGAGATTTGACTGCAGGTCTCAGGTGTTGAGTGTGGAAAGTCTGAGTGGACGCTGTTACTGGGAGGTTGAGTGGAGTGGAGAGGTGGAGATTTCGGTGTCATATAAAGAGATAAGCAGGAAAATAATGGGTAATGAGTGGTGGTTTGGACGTAACAATCATTCCTGGAGTCTTTGGTGTTCTTCCTCTCTTACTTTCTGGCACAGGTACATTTGGACTGAGCTCCCAGCACCTCCGTCTTTCAGAATAGGAGTTTATGTGGATCACAGTGCAGGAACTCTGTCCTTCTACAGCGTCTCTGACACAATGACCCTCCTACATACAGTCCACTATACATTCACTCGGCCTCTCTACGCTGGATTCTGGGTTGGTGATGGATCAACTCTGAGATTGTGTGATAAACAGTGATGATGGTGATAATGGCTGATGGTTTGTGAGGCCTGTTTGACTAAGTGTCTGCTCTTATTATCCTTTTTTCCTCACCTAATTATATTTGATCAATCTATCAATAGTAATTAACCTCTCATAATCTCAGTAAAATAGTAATTAACGTCTTCCACTACATTATAAATCTGATCTTTACCTGGTTTAAACAGACCTTCAGGAGCATTATTCAGTAATGACATGAACAACAGTGTAAAAGAGTTCTGCTTCATCTGATCATTTAACGGTTAATGAGTGTGTGTGTGTGATTTACTGGAGATCTGAACTGTAGCTGAAGGCTCATACATCATTCAAAAACTTGCTTATAGAATCTACAACAGGGGATAATACAGCTAAAGCTAAGATAATGATATGCTAAAATGAATAGCTAAAATAAAAAACAACTCATACATCTTTCATAGACATGCTTATAGAATCTACAGCAGGAGATAATATATCTAAAGCTAATGCTAATTTCACCTTTCGGAAGTACAATAAAACTAAAGCTAATTTTACCTTTTGACATTATGAAACAGTTAAATCTAATGCTAATGTTACCTTCTGTCAATATGACACAACTAAATTTAATGCTAATTTTATTTTCTGTCAATATGACACAACTAAATTTAATGCTAATTTTATTTTCTGTCAATATGACACAGCTAAATCTAATGCTAATTTTACCTTCTGTCAATATGACACAACTAAATTTAATGCTAATTTTATTTTCTGTCAATATGACACAGCTAAATCTAATGCTAATTTTACCTTCTGACTGTATAATGCAGTTAAACTAACACTAATTTTATTTTCTTACAGTATAACAGCTAAAGATAATGCTAGTTTCACCTTGTGACAATATGATGTTGTGGTGGCTGCCACTTGCTCCAGTTTGCAGAGGGGGCCCTAAAGGTGTGGAATGTAGGAACAGTGCCGCGCACCCTGTTCCTTTCCATGTAAAGAACGTTAAATGGTATTTGTTGTTGTTAATATTTCTTTCTGGGTTGGAGTTTGTGTTCCCTTCTGTTTTCTCTGACATTTATGTGCCTTTGCTACTTGTGTTAATAAAGAGCACTTCTCAAAGCAGAAATCATGGCCTCTCCTTTGTCTCCTTCTTGGCCATGATGCTACAGTACAATTAAGCTAATCCTAATTCCACCTTCTGACAATATAATACAGCTAATGCTAAGGTTGATTTAATCTTCTAAAAGTATATCTGTGGATATAATGCCGTTCGGTCAGAAACACATTTTTTCATTTGCAGTAGTTAGATTTGGTGGTATGACTCTGATCTAAGATGACCCTGCCCTTCCATACGCATGCACAGAAAGACTAAGGCAGAGACAGCAGCAGAAAGAACCGCCAGCAGGAGGAGCTGCTGCGCAACTAGTGGCAAAGACAACTATACTAGTTGGCAAGGGTGAGGCTAATTGATGCTAGTTGAGGTAACATAGCTACTGAGTTATACCCAGCCTAGCAGCTACACTACAACCTTGAATAAGGTAGCAGATTACAGAGGATTCATGGCTTTTTGTGCATTGAGGATGGCTTAAGCTTCGGGTCTTTCGAAAGCAGATGATGACCATCTGTCCATGAGTGTGTGAGCATGGGAGCTAATGATGATGTTGCTGCTCCTATGTGAAAAGAATGAGCCATGTAGCATCCTGGAGGAAGCATGACTGGCATCTGTTAATACAGGGAACTGAGGAGCTTCCTTTGCTAGTGATATTAAAAATTGCCTCATTATCACGAAAAACAGAATTTTTTCCTATACCAGTGTTTACCCCACAGAAAAAAACTATAACAATTGGGTACAATTCCATCAAAGCAGTAGAAACATTAGCTGGCAAGGATGACAGTTCTTTTGGCTATACATCAGTGAACCACTTATTATTGAAAACAACCCCAAAACCAATGGACGGGGCTTAATCTGTAAACAACTTAACATCTGCTGAATTTTCCAAAGTGTCATTATAAAAAAAAGGTGTGATTCCAATCATTGCACAAAAGAGACCACAATTGCAGCTCATCATTTCATGGAGACTATAGATTTTGCAAAGTCTAGAAGCCTGGATATAAAAGAGCATCCCTGGGGAGTAACACTCACAGCAAAAGTAAGATGCCCAAGCAAAGAAAGCAGTTCTTGTTTTGATGTAACTACTGCCTCAGGTGCCTTTCTCATAACCATTCTGATGCAATTTAATTCATCAAGAGGCAGGGAAGCATCAGGTTGCTATCCAAAGAGAGGCCTAAAACCTATAGATTTGAGCAGGCCTATTGTTTTTTCCTTGGCTAGGGGGCACCTAGTTTTTTAAAAATGTGTTGTAGAGTGGCTGTGCATCAATCCGGAGTCGAATTTGGAAAGTCTGCTAGCAGAAAATTATCTAAGAGATGAAGCACAAAAGGCAATCTACAACTACTGAGAAGAATCCAGCAAAATGCCCCCTACAAAGTGTCACATATTTTTGGGCTGCAATGACAACTGCAGGTAAGTCTAACCAAGAAATACAATTTTCCTTCCATTTAATGCCAAATAGATGCCATTGCGAAAGATCCAAAGGCATCACCTTAAATGCATCTGTGATTTCTAAAACAAGGAGAAGGATGCCAGAGGAATGAGACTATTGATGCTTTGAGTTTTGACATTAGGTGGAGCAGATAAATCAATGATTAGGTACTTTTTCCCCAGAATATTTGCGGGTAGCAGTAGTATTAAAACATGAGCCTATAGTCACCATGTTCAATGCCAAATATGGACTAGAGGGGTATAAAGCCCTCTGCACTGGGCTGAGGAGGAGGGGAACTATGTTCTCTGGAGTGATGGAGCTCCACCCAATACCTTTGAACTCCATTGAACTTCTTTGGGAGAAACTGGAGTGATGAAGTTTTTAATGCCTAAATCAATATTCCTTAGAATTGTTACTTTGTTAAAAATATAATGTAAATTTAGCCAGCTAGGCAGCTCATGCTGTTACCATGCATGCTGATTCATTTTAAGGCAGAACCAGAAGGCCTAAAACAACCCTCTAAAGTAAACACAAATAGCTGATGGTATCTAATTAGCACTGTGCAGAACTCCTGTGAGATGTTCTTCCTTGGCAGTGCCTCTCTACAGCAGTCTTGCCTCGCTCTCCTGAGCTCTCTCAGGGCAGTTTCACACTTGTCCTGAATACTTGAATCCGCACCCAGGACCTATTGTGGGCTCGTTTGGGGAAGGGGATCATTATTAGTGGTTTGCTTTTACGCACAAAAGAATTCCATTCGGACCTGTGAATCAATTGCACAACTCCATACATCACTTTTATGCATGCAGGTTTGCAAAATGGTAGACACTAGCCCAGGGGTCAACAACATGCGGCTCTGGAGCCAAATCCGTTTTTGTTACTGATGGATGGAAACATTTAGGAGCAGACAAAGAACAAACTGGTAAAAAAGCTGCTTTCTTTACAGCTTCTCCATCTTCTTCCTCACTTTCCTCCCTCACTATCATCCTCCAGCTTCTAAACGTAGTCCAGATGAAGAAAGTCTAAATGCCTTATTGATTTTCTCCTGTTTTAATGAGATAAAGAGTGCAGCTCCTCTGAGTCTAACATCTAATGAATCTGGACAGCCAGTTATAAGAAACAGGGATGTCCTTTATTACCACTATTATTAACATTATCAGTATGGCACAGTTTCAGGAGTTAAAGTGATAGATTAGAAAAATTAAACGGTTATAGTTTTGCCCCCTTACATCAAAATGGATCAATCAGTCAAGACACATTTTAATGTCTGAAATTGCTTCGTTAGTTTTACACTGGAGCTACAAGGCTAACAAGCTAACAAGTAATGAAAGTTTATGTACCCTAATTAGCAGGGTGCTAGCTGCATGCTTAAATTATCACACTCAAAGATGTTCAGTAATTGCTAATTTATTTGATGATGTGGTTTCTGACACAGTACGATACACTGTTATCTATAAACATGGACTCTAGTATGGCTGAACACAGTATCATCCCATTATTGTTATATCAGTCATCTGGTGTCTTTTGTTGAGGTCTCCAATTTTCCTAGCTGTTCTAACAATCCTCCTTGGTTTATCTTTGCTTTTTTGATGAAAATGATGCTGAAGGAGACCCATATTTACTGTGTACAGCATTTATACACTTGGTTAAAGCATCACTGTGAACGGAAGAGCCGGACAGCTGCTGAGGTCAGAAAGTGGTGAAAGGATTATCGATGTGGTGAACAAGAGCAGGAGAGAATTTCTCCTACAATCAGAAAGTAAATCTGACAATAACAGCTACAACTGAGACTAAACAGAGCTTGTAAGCTAACATAAAGCCTCTGAGTTACTAGCTCTGTTTAGTCTCAGTTATAGCTGTTATTGTCAGATATGGTAGAAAAAAAATCAATTTCGCTGTCTTGGCTGGACAATAAAGCTCTGTTTTGGTCTTTATTTTTTATTCTTACCAACTTAAAGTCTTTATGTTAGCTTGCTAGCTCTCTTTCTCTTCATGCTGGTTGTTAGCGTTAGCAGTATGAACTTGTATGAGCTACTGTGAAAAGATGAAATAAAGAAACAAAGCAGTTTTCCCATCTTGTCTGGACAGTAATGTTATATTCTGAGCTGTTCTGTGTTACTTTGCAGGTTTATGCTAGCTTGCTGGTGCTCCTTTTCTCTCTGTGCTAGCTGTTAGCTGTTATCATCATTTGCAGCTGCAGAGAGAAAAAGAAATGAAAGCAGATCTGAGCTCCAACTCACCTTAGAAGCTGTGAACACACTGCGGTTCCTGCAGAACCTGCACTTCAGCTGTCTCATCAGTTTCGTTTCTGCTGTTCATAAAATACTTTAACATCAAACTCAGAAAAGTGGCTGTTAAAAAGCTGCTCCAACCGTCCTCCAGGATTAAAGTGTAGAGCAGCAGTAGAATGAATGGAAGCAGCTGAGTGAACTGCAGTGTTGCTCAGAGTCCATTTCACAGCAGGACGAGTCAGTCTGTACTGACCATTTAGACTCACTGATTTCAACTAAAAACTTCTTCATTAGATTCAGCAGAAGTGAGCAGTTTCTTTTGTGCTGAAAACTTTCTGCACAATTCAATTATTTTACTTGGCTGTTTTAAATATTTCTTTTTGGTCAGTTTTGGCATTTACCTACTAAAGGTCACAGTGAAATTCAAACCTAACTTGAAATTTGAGAAGAAGGGAGAGTGTCTCCAAACTTTTGATGAGCAGTGTAAAAATGTTTTTAGCTGCAGCTTCATTCAGTCCAGCATTTTCTGGACGATCAGTCCACAAATCAGTATGATGCTACCAGTGCTAAAGCAGTTCTACATCAAACTGCGCTAAAACCTGATCAGGACAGTGATTTCTTTTGCGTTTCCTTTCTCTCACTGTAAACTGATGGATAAATCCAACTCTTCATGATCTCAAGTCAAGTCAAGTCAGGCTTTATTGTCATTTCAGCTCTATACAAGTAAACAGTGAAACAAAACAATATTCCTCCAGGACCAACACAGGAAGGCAAGTGCAAGATGATACAATATACACAGTGTAGACAAAACAGCACAATAAATAAATAAGAAAGACTTAAAATAAATACAAACAGAACACAGGCAGTACACGGTACTGAGAGTATGTGGAGCTGTGCAAAGGAGGATGTACCCACATCTGTACCACATCTCCAGTTTCCCCAGTAATAACATGTTGTATATTAACTGATCTACTGTACTGGTGTCCTCTGGAGGTTCTCACAAGCCCTGCAGATTTCTTTCCACCACCTCCAGACACTCAGCAGCTCTAAAGATCTGATGATGATCATACGATGATGCTGTGCTCCGTCTACATCTGTCTAACCCTGCATTCACACCGGCAGCGACACGATGTGACAAAGCAGCTGAAAGTCGATGTGGCGATTACCAATAGGAATTGAGCAATGAGCAGCATAGTACGCACTTTATCTCCTCCACTGTGAAATGGTATGCTCCATTTTTGGTTCCTTGATATCTGTTCCTACTAGAGACGGAATAATGGCGTTGGTGTGTTCGTCGCAAATAGACCGTAATCACAAAGACCAAACACTCTTTTCCTCACTAACTGACTGCGCCTACATGGAGATTAAATAAAAATAAGCACACAAGCGATTTCTCACCTGTGAAACCATGGGAACCAACGGTCCGCTCGAGTTCAGAAATGCCCACAGACGATGAGCAATCAGCAATTTGGGCATCAATAGGCAAAAAGTCGCTGCCGCTGTGAACGTAGGGTAATGATCCTGACCGGCTTGTTCTGATAGTCAACCTCCTGCTGGCAGACTGAGCTGGTGGTGATTAGCTCCATTTTTATGGGTTCCGCCCCCTGTAGAAGACCCTCGGAGGAAGGAGTGATGAACCGATTCCAGTCTGAGAGAGGAGAGTGATGGAGATGAGGTAACTGTGGAGCAGTGTGCAGCTTTAAGGAGATGTTAAACAGAGGAGAACAGAAGAAACTGCTGGTGACTGTCCTGAGGACTGAAACAAACTCAGGACCATCCATCCAGCTATCCATCATCTAAACCGCTTATCCTTCTGGGTCACGGTGGGATGCTGGAGCCTATCCCAGCTGTCATTGGGCGGAAGGCAGGATACACCCTGGACAGGTCGCCAGTCCATCGCAGGGCAGACAGACAGACATACACATTCACACACTCACTCACACCTAGGGGCAATTCAGCATGTCCAATCAGCCTGACTGCATGTCTTTGGACTGTGGGAGGAAACCGGAGTACCCAGAGGAAACCCACACGGACACGGGGAGAACAGGCAAACTCCACACAGAAACGACCCTGGTCACCCGGCCGGGAATCGAACCCAGGCCATTCTTGCTGTGAGGTGACAGTGCTACCCACTGCCCCACCGTGCCACCAACTCAGGACCAGAGAACGCAAATTCACAAAGGCAATTCAAAGTGCTTTACATGATTAAAGCAGGAGTAAGGGATGATATACATCCAAACAGGTGACCCATCTGACCAGATCACTGTCCTCCATCTCACCTCCATCACAGTTTCTACCTCTCAGATGGTCTTCGTAATGAGGGGTTTCTGCACTGCAGCTCTACTGTAAACTGCACATTCTCAGTCACCTCCACCATCTGCTCTTACATATCATACTAATGCTCGACCATCTCGCTCACTGAAGACTGTTTACTGATCCCACGGATCTGAATGCAGAGCTCACTTTGGTCTCTGTTCCTGCTGTAACACTGAGGGCTAGTTGCGCAGTCCTTGTAACTAAAGCTCCATCTGTGCTCCAACAATGAACCTCTTTCAGAGACACTCAGATCTTCCACTCTTCATCATCTTCATCCAAAATCGAGGTCAGCTGCAGAGCTGGGAGGATGTTCACAGCTTAACTGTTTAATACAGGTCACCTGTCTGGATCTGCACTTGTTGCGTTTCTCCACTCATTTATTGAGCTTTTTTCTTTTCATTTGCCATTGGTATATCAATTGTAAGGGGCAGTTTTGCCTTTACTGAATTATTAAATGACTAAAATATTCAAAATAGCATTTTAAAGGGCCCATATACTAAAATTAAATGTATTTTATTATTGTTCTTGAGGTTAACATGATGATCTTTGTGTGGTTATATAAAATAATGAACTGTTGTATTTCTTTTTTACATTTTCAACCTTTCTTTAACCCTTAGGCTGTTTCGGTTACTTCAGAGGAGTGGACGGGGTCTAACTGCTGTAAGTGGAATAGATGGTCTAGTAAGAATGTGTTGCTTTTTGTGACATCATAAAAACAATTAATTCGAAACAGATTTCTTTTTTATTGCCATATATTTCCATATATGGGCTGAACATTACTTGCTGGAAATTTTGCAGTGTTTACATAATCATCAAACACTTAAAAAAAGCCAGGAAAACTAAATTTTTGATAAGGGCCCTTTAACTTAATTAGTTTTCTAACCTCTAATACTCTAGTACATGTTTTCAAAACCAGCTCGTACCCTGAGTGCTGGTAATCTCTCCCAATCCAGTACTTATCAGAAACAGAAAGAACAGGGAGTGCATGTTAGATAATGTGAATTGATCTAATCTGCAGTATGTAAAATGTGAGTCACAGCTTCTGGAGCAAAGAGCACAGGTTACTAAGTTAGCTCTTCTCAGTAGTAGATCTCTTTTATGAGCCTTATTTGATTAATGGTTTAATTATAGCCCAGGGGCTTGATTTGCTTTTAACAGAAACATGGTTAAGTGAACGTAGTGCTGAAACCACATTAATCGAGTCGGCTCCACCAAACTTTAACTTTATAAATTTCTCACCTGTCGGCAAGAAAGGTGGAGGTGTAGCTGCTCTATTTGTTACCTCTTTCCAGTGCAAGTAATTATCATTGGGTGATTTCACATCCTTTGAGTATCTTTGTGTGGTTCTAAAAAGGGGCACAGAGAATATTACTAGTAATTGTCTTCAGACCTCTGAAGTACAATGCCAATGTTACTGATGCATTTACAGATATGTTATCTTTTATTTCTGCAGATTTTGGTCATTTTGTTATTGCTGGTGATTTTAACTTACATATTGTCAATCCCAGTGACAGTTCTGTTGGGAATTCTGTTCTATATTAGACTCTTTTAGACTCTTCCAGCATGTGACCAGGAGCACACTCTGTCATGGTCACACTCTGGATGCGGTCATCTCAAAGGGTTAAGGATGTCGCTTTGTCAGATCAGTATTGTGTTTTCTTTGAAATGTGGACCTCACTAAACATCAAGACCAGACACATTTGCTTTAAGAAAAGGTTCATAAGTGTTAGCATTACCCTTCAGCAGAGTGAAGAAAACAGTAATGATCTGCAGCTCAACAGGAGAGTTAAAGCTCTGCAGCAGATACTGATAGAAATGAAAGATCAGTGAAAGTCTCGTTATCGTTACGATCCTCTTTCTGGATGAGAGGAAGAGTGACATGTATTTATGAGGCTTGAATGGAGAACCGTTCCACTTTGAGCATTTTCCCATGCTAATGCTAATGAAAATGCTAATGTTGATGTGATTTATTCCTTCAATAAAGAATATTAGTATAGAAACTTGAAGATGTTCTCCTCAAAACAAGGACCTAAACTCTTTATTCTTATCCAGAATGAAATGTCTGCATCACTGCTGCACCGCTGAGACCAGAATTTATAGCCCATCTTCCCTTAGTCACTGTTTGGCCATCAAACTTTCAGCTCAGGCTGCTTGGTAGCATTTGAATTGCTTGTGCTAACAGACTAAAACAGTTCAGTATTATCTCAAAGTAAAGTTTCAGAGCTCAGAGAGGAGAAGATCTGAAACATTTTATCACTGTAAAATGAACTGGATCTAAAAGGATTCTGGAAAGCAGGTTTACATTAATCATTGAGGAGCTCTTTTAGTCAGAGCTTCATTCGTCTAAACTTAATACTGAACATTTTAAACTCTGTATTGTACCAACAGCCAATCAGATGTCACTGGTATTTCTCCTTCCGTCACCCACTTTACTAAACACTACTGCACTTTATAACACTGCATATGAGTCATTACGTCACGCCGTGAAATGTGTTTCTGAGTGCAATGATCACTATTCAGTATATATGTTATAATGTGATATTTATAAGAGTAATATTTAATAAACATTCTAGTAACTGCTGTGTTTAGCTGTGCTGTATGTCACACTGTACAAGCTGCTGTGTTGAACTGTATTTCCCTTCAAGATGAATAAAGTTTATCTTATCTTAAACAAAGGAAAGGAAACAGGTTTAGCAAAGGACTTTTATTTACACCAAATTAAATGCCAGATTGCACTATTAAAAACTCCATGTGAACAAACCTTAACAGCGTAATGACCCTGACATTCTGAGAGGTTAATCACTATTAATAGACTGTGATCAAATATAGTTAGGTGAGGAAAAACAGACATTTAGGCCTAATCCCATTTCACCCCTTGCACCTACCACTTAGCCCTACCCCTCCATTTTGCATGTTCTCGCCTAGGGGTAGGGTGTCCTGATCCTTGTTGAGATAGAGGGGGAGGGTGAAGTGTTAGGGCTACATGGATCTCCAAACAGAGAGTTGTGAGAAAAAAAAACGAAAAACCAGCAAGATGGCTGAACAAGAGACCAAAGAAACCCTCAAATGTGAGAATTTTCTCTGTTAAATAATTATGATGACCACCGTATAATTTTAGTTTAATATTGTTTCAGTGCATTATGGTCCTTTTCTTCACAACAAGCATAAATAAATCATTAGTAGTGCTGATGTCTCTTAGCTGGCTAGCTAAATTTCCCATTCTACTTTAAATGGGGCAGCAGGTAAATTCAGGCACCCCAGGCATCAGAACTGTTGCACCACTTAAAATTTGAACAAGAAGCTGATGAATATCTTCAGCTTCATATCACTAAAGAACTATAGGTGCACGATGATAATTGTCGCAACCGCTGCCCTCTTTGAAAGTGCCCTAAATTTAACTAAGTATTGAGGAGCTGAACTTTACCCTCCTCACCTGTCACTGCAGACTGGCAGGGTCACCCACAGAGCAGCGCTAGTAGCTGTTAATGAAGTAATGCTCTTTTTATTTAAGGGGTTGTTCCATTTCATAGGTGAAGATTTCAACCACTACCACTAGTAACTCAGTTCCAAGGGGTACAGGTTAAAACAAACTATTACAGCATAAGATACAGATTACATACCTTACAGTATTTACCAACAATAGCAGGTCTACTACTGCATCCCAGTGAATACACACACAGACTTAATAACCCTTTAAGATGAAAAAGAACTCAGTTAATCTACACTGTAGTTCATGTAGTTACTGAATAATAAGCTTTAGAATATAATAAACCTGATATTATAAGAGGATAATCACTCTTAATAGGCTTAATAGATGAAATATAATGAAGTGAGGAAAAAGGGATGATAAGAGCAGAAACTTAGTCAAACAGGCCTCACAGACCATCAGCCACGATCACCACCATCGTTTTTATCACACAACCTCAGAGTTGAATGAAGACTAACATAGAACCCAGCGTAGAGCGGCTGAGTGAATGTGGTGTGGACTGTGTGTAGAAGGGTCATTGTGTCAGAAACGCTGTAGAAGGACAGAATTCCTGCACTGGGATCCACGTACACTCCTATTTTGGCTAACGGAGCTTCTGGGAACTCCTCTCTATAGCAGCAGTGCCAGACAGAGGCGTTACTAGAACAAAACAGTTTCCAGGACTGACTGTTGTATCCAAACTCACCATCACAAAACTCTCCTTTCCTGCGAATGTCTTTATATGAGACTACAATGGCCGCAACTCCACTGTACTCAACCTCCCAATAACAGCGTCCACTCAGACTCTCCACACTCAACACCTGGCCGAAATAGTCAAATCTCTCTGGATGATCAGGGTAATGCTGGTCTTCATTACTCAGAATCAGAGCTCTGTTATTCTCAGACAGAATGAGGCGACGATACGCTGTGTTAGGATCCAGAGTCAGGTGACAGAAATCTAAATAAAATCAGAATAAAATACAGAAAATAAACATTTTATATAGTTTGTCTTCACAGAGGTCTCTTTTCCACGGCAGGGCTGAATGGTTCTGTAACCGTTCCAGTGGCTTTTCCACACAGACACGGCCAAACCAGATTCAGTGCATTTTTTCTGGTACAGTTAGGTAACCAGGCTCAGGGCCATGGAAACGTCTGGTTGGATGATGTAATTATGTACCCATTGCCTGATTGGTTCTACGTTTATGTTGGTATTGTGCCACAGCATCCTGCCACATTATTTTGAACCAAAAACAGTCAAATAAATTCAGTTTACTCATATGGACTTGAATAAATCCACCATTTGATAAATGTATTAGCATTAGCTTAGCTAGCATGTTGTTAGCGCTGCTCGAAACAAAACAGGTTTGATTCTGAGTAACAAAGGCTTTACAGACATAACTCAAATGTGAGGAAGCAACATTGAGTCTCTGTTGAAATCTCTGTTGAAATGTTTGGAGACGCAGCTTGGTAGCCTAGCCAATGCTAGCCGGCTCTTCTCTCCTAGCTAGCTTAGCTAAAGCTGAAGAGATTCAAACAGCCCAGTACAAGTTTGATTCGACTAACTGGTGCTCTGCTACCACAGCTATAGATGATAAAAAACTTATTTCAGCAAGAGTGAAGTGGACTGATTGAAAGCTGAAATCAAACCTGTTTTGTAGTGTTTTCAGCTGAAGCCTGCTAGGCTAAGCTATTGTGATTGTATGGTACTTCCCACCACAGTACACTCAGATTCAGCTAACTGATGCGTAGAAACATGAATTTATCGGATAAAGACTCTTAAACGAGAGTGCAGAGTCGAATGACTGGTGTTGAAGTGACAGACAAATAAAAATGAGGGTCACACTTTATTTGCATGGTCCCCTATAGATGCTCTACAGATACCTAAATCACTAACAAACTTTCTGGTGATGTTCAGTTGATTATCAGCAAGAGTATGGTTATGGTTAGAGTGAGGAGTAGGTGTAGGTTTTACTTTAAGGTTAAAGTTAAGGAGAGGTTTAGGGTTAGGGTTAGATCTTAGTCTTTCATACTGAACTTGAAGTTGTGTTTTATTTAATGTATAATTTAGTTGAATGTTACTTCAAGACAGACTGAGCATTTACAAAGTATCTACAGTGGACCATTCAAATAAAGTGTTACCAAAATGAGAATAGCGCTGTGGTGCTTTGAGATGTACTCTGATGTTCTGATTTAGCGGCACAACAGAGAGAAAAAAGAAACTCGGTCTAACGATTCCAGAACAGCACAGTACAGCCCTGAGAACCATTTGGCTCGACAGTGGAAAAGAGGCCAGAATGTTCTTATTCGAAGAAAAACATGTTTGTTGATGTTTTTAAACGTCTTTACAGTGAGAATTTCAGACGCTGCCTAAAGGCTCAACTTACACTGTAGAAAATCTTCTCTGCTCTTTGGTTCTGAGAGTGATAAAGGAGCTGCTGCAGCTGTGGAGACACAAGAACACACAGGACCACATCAATAGAATAGAATAGAATAGAACAGAATAGAAGAGCCAGCAGGAAGCTCCTCTTACCCTGTGGAGGGATTTTCCTGAACTCCTCTCTGCAGAACTCCTCTAGTCTCTCTTTCAGATCAGAGAGAGCGCTCCTCACTCCATCAAATGAGAGATGGTGATGGACAGAGATGCTGGAGGAGTCCTCAGATCCAGAAGAGACGCTCAGAGACTGGAAACTCTACACAGAGGGAAAACAGAATGGAGAAAAAGAGGAATGAAGCAGATCAGACCAAATCAGACTAAAGATGAGCGAGTGATCAGACAGAGCTCTGTTTATTACTGTCTTCATGAACTTTAGCTGAGAGGAGTTTGATGAAGTTGATGATGAACAGGTTCCTCTGTAGATCAGTGATTGTTACCTGGAGGAAATGGATGTGATCCTCTGTGAGTGAAAGCTGCTCCAGCTCAGCGTTTCTCCTCTTTAGATCAGCGATCTCCTGCTCCAGTTTCTCCAGGAGTTCTTCAGCTGCACTCAGTTCAGCCTCCTCCTGAGCTCTGATCAGCTCTGTTAGCTCAGAGCGCTTTTTCTCAATGGAGCAGATCAGTTCAGTCCAGATCCTCTCAGTGTCCTCCACTGCTGTCTGAGCACAGCGCTGTTAGAGCACATACAGAGAGCACATATAGAGCTCCATTTAAAGGAGGACTTCAGTAGAACATCTCATTACACACTTTCACTCCTCACAGTCAATTTAGTACATCAGTTAAGACGGGTTTAGTGTCTTTAGTTTGTATGCATATCTGCAATACAGACATATGCTTGTTATTTATAGTGATAAAACACAGAAATGTGGACTTTCAAATGATCTCCGTTTTGCCGTTTGAGCCACGACACGTCTTCAGGAGAGCTTGAGGAGAATAACAAGTAAATTCTTAAGAAAACATCTCATGTTCAACATGTCAGCTGAGAAACCTTAGAACTTTAGATATTTTAGAAACTTTAGATAAGATTAGAAACTGCCATAGAACAGTTCGGGAGATAACGTCTGGACTGGCCGATTACGTCATGTGTTAATGCATATTAATACGTGTTTAGCTCAACGCTAACACCAAACACTAACTGAATCATCCCCAGACACCGTGACCGGCACAAAAACTTCATAGAACCTGTATGCTATCTGTGAAGAAAGTTCAAATAAACACATCAGTAAAAATAAATAGAACACATGTTTTTCATCTCACAATATTGAACATCAATCACGACCCATGACTGTATGACTTACAATAGATATATATGGCAGCATAAATGCTGCAAATGTATTCAATTCAAATTGAAATGCAAATTTGAAAATGCTAATTCAATTGTGTATTTACAGTTGCATTTCTCATAGGAGTGTACATTATTTAAGACATAATTTAAATTAAAAATGTATATTTGCTTTTGCACTTCGAGGGTGTAATAGTTGTAAAAGTTAAAATAGAAAAGCAAAGTCATTTTGACAATTCATTATTGTTGTATAATGGACGGATTCTGACATGTAAAAAAAAAACACCAAACCTGTTTCAAATTCGATTTTTAGCCAGCCACTCTTGTCAGTCAAATGCTGTGGTCAGTGAATGTGGGGCGTATTTTAAAAGGAAGTGGTGAATCTAAACTGAATATAACAACCACTGAGTGACATTTTAACACCCACTAACAAGGCTGAGGATAATTCTGTCCAAAGTGATTGTTGTGTGGAAGTGATTCTTGATTAACTAGAAGAGCTTGAAATGTCCTACCATAAACATATACGTTCCACCTTAAATTGTGTAGAATATACCTGCTGCACCACTTACGGTGGAACAGGAAAATTTGAATAAGAAACTACGTACAGCTTCGTCTACCATAGCGCATATTCATAGGTAGCTCCTTACATAAAACTGTAGGGAGGATATTTTCAGGCAGAGGCTCTCAGGACTGTTCGGAAGAGCTGAACAACCAAAGATGAATATTCTTATTATGGGTTAGCGCAGTGTTTACTCTTGATACGCGCCCTGCAATCAGATCTCCATCCTGAAGTCCCGCCCACAGAGTCTGATTGAAATGAGAGCCTGACTGATGTCTGTGAAAAAACAGGATTGCAACTGCATCTTCATGTTGGCAGAGCTTAAGCGCGACGATGAGGAAATGCAATTGCAAACAGACGAGTGTTTTTCTAATTTAAATATTTTAAAGTCAGACTATTAATACAATGGAAGTTAAGTGTTGAAAGCACTTTGCTTTTTCCAGCCATTATACACTGAAATGCAACTGCAAGTACACAACTGAATTAGAAAATGTATATTTAATTTAGAATAAAAGAAAAAGAATATTTATTTATAATTAGAATTAAAGTCCAGAATATGCTGCTATAAAAAACACAGACGAAAGTGAGACTTCTGGACGGCTGCTACTGCTTTCAGCTATGCTAACACACATTTACGTGCTAACTGGTAGAGTACAGCATCAGCTTTTAGCCTCGTAGCTCCAACACTGAGCTCCTCACTGTCTGACTGGAGGAGAACCTGACTGAGCTCTGAAATATCCAATCTCTGCTCAGTCCTCACCTTAAGAGTGTTCACAGCCTGTTCCAGCTCCTGCAGCTTCTTCTGCTTCTCCTGGATCCTCTGCTGGACGTCTCTCTGCATCTCCTCCAGCTCCCTCTGTCAACAAACACACTGTATGACTGGGAATCATCACCTACACACATTTGGATTACTGTGAGTTAAAGAAGGGTCATTCCACACCAGCTCACCTCATCCCTGTCCATGGAGTTTCATCAAGTTTACACAGAAACTTCAGTTTACAAACAGAACTGATCTTATTCAAGAAGAAGTCTGTACATTGGATTAGTCAACAAAAATAATTTTGAAAACAGTCTGAAAAATGATGTTAAATATGAAATATTGCACGATCGGGTCAAAAACTAGTATACCCCTTACAGTAAATTCACCTGTTGAGGTCATTAATCAGCAAACAACTAGTTCATTTAGTGTGAAATATGATTCTTAGTGTTGTGTTTATACCTAGTTAATATTTCAGCAGTCAGTCTGTAAGAAGTTAAACTCAATATTTCAGATACAATTTAGACCACAAATGTTAGAAAATCATAATTAACTAGTTTATGAATGATGAAATCTTGCTATGTTATTCCAGGTGGTTACTAATATGTTGGTAGGCCTTTACTATGTAATCCCAGGACATGTCCAGACATGCTGTAGGTGAGTCAGTGTGGAGTGACTCAGTAGTGAAGTTCACTGTTGTTCTACAGAGCTTTCACACCATCATGTGAGCACTATAAGGCTGAAGATGGTGTTGGCTGGTAAAACATTCACAGACTGCTCTGACTTTATTACTGTTGCTGAGGAAGAAAGAGTTTATTCATCACTTCCTCATCCACAACACTTTACACACATTCTTTACACACAAACCCCATTAAACTCAAGAACTGAGACAGTTTAAATCCTTCAGCTGATGCAGTTTAGCTTCATTTAGATCCAGAAGGTCTGTAGTTCTCACCTGTTTCTGGGTTCTCTCTGCTGCAGCTGAGACTGTATCGTGGCCTTTGTGGTCATCCATTGTACACAAATAACAAATGCAGCTTCGGTCAGTCAGTCAATCAGTTTTTCGTGTTGAGAGCAGATCTTCTCTTGTAGTTGTGTGGACACTTTGGCCAGATTGTGCTTTTTCAAAGGAGGAACTTCACTGTGTGTGTGTGTGTGTGTTAGAGAGAGAGAGAGAGAGAGAGAGAGAGAGAGAGAGAGAGCAGCACGCTGTGGTGGGAGTTGTGTTTTCTGAGCTGTCGGTGATCCACTTCCTGGTTTTTCTGTTGGTTACAATGACGTAGAGAGGGGGAGGAGAAAGAGAGAAGGAGGAGGAGGAAGGACACCACTGGTATGTATATATATATATATATATATATATATATGTATCATGATTAACATAAATAAACACTACCATTTTTAAATGATGTTCTACATTTATTAATTGAATATGCATGTTTGTATTGAAGATCCACGTACTGGCCATTTTATCAGAAACCCCTGCCTGGTGTTTGTTGATGCCCAATTGTTGATGTACAGTTATGTATATATATATATATATATATATATATATATATATATATATATATATATGTATATATATATATATATATATATATATATATATATATATATATGTATATATATATATATATATATATATATATATAAAGTTTTCTGTATTACTTTAAAATGTACATTGAACAAACATTGATATATACAACCCGAATTCACAAAAAGTTCGGATTTTATGTGAAATGCTACTAAAAACAGACAGCAGTAATTTATACATTTTGATTTCATCATCTATGGTACATAGTATTAATAAATGATTTAGAGTATCCAGAGAAATGTCTGTATACAAGGGACAAGGCCAAAAACCAGTACTGGTAACCAGTACTTATTAACAGACATGATTCTGCAGTGGAAATCATTGCATGGGCTCAGGAACACACATATATAGACAGGATCCAGAAATGCTGCTGCCTTCTCTGGGCCCGAGCTCATTTAAGACTGACTGAGGCAAAGTGGAACTTTAAATTCTTTTTTTCCAGGCCAAAGACCATCTGGCTTGTTTTCCTCTGACAGTTCAAAAGCCAGCATCCGTGATGGTATTAGGGTTCATTAGTGCACATGGCATGAGTGACTTGCACATCTTTAAAGACACCGTTAATGCTGAACAATATATTTTGGCAACATAAGCTGGCATGTCAAACCTCATTCTGCACGTATTACCACACCATAACTCTATAGTAAAAGAGTCTGCGTGTTAAACTGGCCTGCCTGCAGTCCAGATCTGTCACCCATTGAAAACATTTGGTGCATTATGAAACAAAAAAATTGACACATGAGCCCCCGAACTGTTGAGCAGCTGAAATCCTACAGCAGTCGGTCTCCTCAGGTCCCAAACGCTTACAGAGTGTTGTTAGAAGGAAAGGTGATGAAACTCAGTGGTAAACATGCCCCCGCCCTAACTTTTTTTCAAAAAACAATACAATGTTCCCAGTTTCAATATTTGATATGTTGTTTCTGTACTATTCCAAGTAAATATATGTTGTACATGATTTGCATATCATTGCATTCTATGTTTATTTACCCATTTGGTATCAGTCAACTAACTCTTCATAACACACTGCTTTCCAGGTAAAAGATGAGGAGGTGAAGATCTGCTCAGACTATGCTAGAAACATTTGCCTTTGTCTGGTTATCTTAAAGACTTTAGATTGACTGCTCAGCCAGGCCTGAAGGAGGAGGTGACTCCTCAGGATCTCAGCTTTAGCCAGGACCACCTCAATGATAAACCATCTCACACTGACCAGTCGTCCTCCACCGCTTAGTCCATCCTGCTCCGAGCGCTCTCTCTTTCCTGACTGAAATGACCAGCTTGATCCAGGACACCTCCATGGATCTCTGCAGCATGTTCACAGCTGAAGGTCTGGATCTCGCTCTGCATCTCTCTGATGTCACCATCAGTGCTGTCCAGCATGAGCAACCTGGTGTCCAGAGCACTGAGCCAATCTTGCCCCAAAGGTGGACACAACCCTCAGTCCTCTGAGAGCTGTCAGAAAGACAGACAAGCCTAGATCTGTCACTGATCCTCCATCATCTCCACCAGCACTGATACTGTACTGTAGAATCTTACAAGGGTCTTGCAGCAACGTCGACAAGTAATGTGTGATTTATTTATTTATTAGCAACAAAAATTAATGAGGGATGATCAAGAGAATAAAACACATACATTAGTCATAACATAATCACTGTTTGAACTACATACAAACAGACCAAGCCATTCATTAATAAGATCCATAACAAGTTGTCCATTGTGTGGTGGTGGAGAGCTCAACAGTGACTGCAGTGGAGCTCAGTTTAGAGAGACAGAGACAGCGAGAGAGAGAGAGAGAGAGAGAGAGAGAGAGAGAGATAAGCTAGCACAGCAATGCTAACAGTAAATAGAAAAGGAACAATTAGCTAATAAGTGAGAATATCAAAACAGAGGTTCTATAAGGGTTCCACATTTGTTTTATGTTTTATGAACTGTCCATTGTATAGATATTATATGTACACACTGTCTGTGTACCACCTTTGTAGGTGAACTCTTAGACCTTTATGCCACACCTTTATAGGTGAACTGTTGGACCTTTTTGCCCCACCAAAAACTCCAGTTTATGTGCTGGATACACTATGGGAGAGACCTCTACTTGCATTAGCAATCACCTCCGTCCTTCTGTCATGTTCCTGATATAAGGCAGCCCCCAAATCTGTTGTGCTAGCATCAGTGCGCAAAACATATGGCAGTGTAGGCCATATACATGTAGGCATTGCCAAGAACTGGACAAGAATGGCAGCTTTTCACTTAAAGCTTCAAAAGCTTTCTGACAGGAGGGGATCCAGTGGGTCCCAAAAGGCTCTTTGAGGTTCAGACATTTACCTGCAACATTTATGCCAAGGTGGGTAACCAGCAGTGAGACTGGTAAGTACCGAGTAAATCCCAAGAAAGACTGGAGCACTCTCAGATTCTGGGGTGTTGGCCAGGTGTTTAAAGCTTTGACTTTATCAGGATCAGTCATTATACATTCTCTGGATACAATATGTCCCAAATAATGGAGTGAGGTCTAAGTATCAAGGTTTAAGTCCATAATCTCTTAGACAACCCGAGACATGAAAAAGATGAGTCTCATGCTCCTTCAGAGAGCTTGAAAATACAATCAAACTGTCAAGAAAGATAAGTACCTCTTTCAAGATTATGTCCTCCATGCACTTCTCCATAAGTCTTTGAAACATACTTGCATTCATCACCCCTTTGGGCATATCCCAAAAAGGAAAAAAAGCAGTCTGTAGCTTGTTCTCTTCATTCACCTCAATTTGGTAATATATCAATTTCAAATCCATTACTGAAAACTACTGATCCAGCAAGGGCTGAGAACGATACCTCCAATTTAGGCAAAGTGTATGCATCTTTGATAGTTTACAAATGTAATTTCCGATAATCAACACATAGACTCACATATCACCATTCTTCTTCTTTCCAGCCACAACAGGTGATGAAAATGGAGATTCAGATTCTCTGATTACACCCTCATTCAGAAGAGTTTGAAGGTGCCTCTTCACCGCCGCACAGTCATAAGGGTGGATGGGGCAAGGTTTCTGTTTAAAAGGGGTCTTGAACCTTATAAGATGCCTGATTTTAGTAGTATGGCCAAAATCAAGGTCATGATGACAGAAGACACCTGGGAAATTGTTCAACTTCTCAGTTATATCTCCATTCCTCTGAGAGAGGGGAGTTAATGAAGTCAAATTTCAAGCTCGGTTTTCTTTCTGTTACCTGTTACTCAAAGCAACTCACAGGAGACCTCTGATCATCAGCATTCTCAGATGTAGAATTTTGGATGATGCACTTGGGAACCACCAGCTCGGGAACCACACTGTGCAGGGGAAGCACAATGCCATGATGGATCTCATTCCTAAGCAGTACTGGTAGTTTGCTGGACATTTCAGATGTTACAGATAGAAGGCAGAAGTATACAAATACACCACCTGATATGAGTTGGTTGGCTGCTCTAATAAAGGCCATTGTTCTATGCTAACTGTATTAGCACACCAAAACCTTAAGTAAAACCTTCTGGTTTCCCAGAAGAACCTCAGGTGTCTGGCCACTAAGCTTCACTAAGCCGATTCTCCCATGAATAGCCTGTTTTTTCCAGATCCCTAATGTTCTTAGGACCTGTTTCTACCCATAACGAAGCAGCTTCAAGTTGGACCTAGGTCTGTCATAGCACTGCTCATATAGAGGGTCGAGAGTGTTGGTGCCAATTAACAGTGGTACGTTATCCAGACGAAGATCAGGAACAATTAAGGCAAGAATTGAAATTTCAGGCTATGATTCAAAGAATGGTGAATATGGAACATCTTGTCCATGTGTTCCTCCCATGTCAAGAATGTCAGTAACAGAGTGTATTTGATAGTCAGATAAGAGACTCTTATAGAAAGAAGGGCTAGAGTAATGATCTTTGAGCCTGTGTCAAGCAGGCAATTACAACTCACACCATTTACAACTACACTTGCTGTGCACTTGTTGCCTACAAGTCGGTCTGGCAATGTTGCATGGCTGGTCACCCCAAAATAACTCATCACCTTTCCATTCTGTGTGACAATGGGACTTTGCTTGTCCCTGGCCCTTCTCTGTCCCTCAACAGAAGCATGTTCTAGTTTAAATTGAATGGATTACAAAGTTTGTGGTGAAGCTCCCAAGCATATTGCTTTTCTCTGAGTGGCCTTTTGCTTAGCCTCAACCAAAGAAGGATTAGGGTCATTCCTGCAGGTACAGGTGACACGACCTTCCTCGTCACATCTAAAGCAATACCATGGCTTCGGTTTTGATGCTTTTGCTGTGACTTGCTTGAGTTCTTTCTTATCTGATTCATCTTTAGCCTCTGAATGCTCCTCTTTATCTCTCTTTGATTCTTCTTTAAGTGGCTTAGAGTTATAACCTTTAAGCTTGGTAATTTGTACCTGCAATGCAGCTTCTTCCTGAGGTCATCAGTGGCAGTATGAAAGATTTTTTACATTCAGCAAGGTAAAACCACCAATGATTGGCAAGTGTGGTATTACAAATGAAATTCCAAAGCCACTTCATAAAGAGGTGAAAGAATATGTGCAGAATCTTTAGGAGCAGGGTAGAATTAAAGTCAACTTCATATTTCTCTACAGTGGTCTGTGTCCGGAAAAAGGATTCTAGCTTGTGTCTCTGTGTAGATTTCAGAAAACTGCACAACTATTTCTAATCGTCATCCACTGCCCCGTATCCAAGACAACCTACAACGGTATTCATGGTTCTCTATCCTGGATCAAGATTCTGCTTAAAATCAAGGTTTTTGGTAACTGAAACTCAAAACATTACCCTGACTTTAACACCCCGTGGGGCCTACACCAGTGGGTCCGGATTCCATTTGGATTAAGTAATGCACCAATGGCAATTCAAATATGCATGGAAGGTGCCCTGGAAGGCTTGTGGGATGAATGCTGTTCTTTACATTTGGATGACATAGTTTGCTATCCCAAAACATTCATAGACCATGTCAAAGACCTTTGGATGAGTACTGGGTAAGCTGAGAGAAAATGCAAACTGAGACCCAAGAAATGTGAACTTTTTAAGCATCAAGTCTGATATGTAGGCTGTCTTGTGTCTGGTGAAGAGGTACAGATAGACCCGAAAGATTTGGATGCAGTGTGAATGTTAAAAGTTGCTCAGAGGAAGAATCGGGATAAGCTATGTTCAGAAAAATGCTCTTTTTATTTTTACACTGTAAGAACAGGCACACCCTACACACATCTGTGGGGAGGTCACCACCAGCCACAGGCTTTGCCCTGACAGTGAACCCACCCATGCACAAAACAACCCAACACACACATTAACTGAAGAACAAGCAACATAAAACAGCAATAAACAATCCTTTTTATTGGGTATGCAGAGCAGAGGCTCATGGGACAGAATGACACAGTATGTAGTGTCTGTTTCTCAGCTTAGAAGATAATGTAATGGGTCTCTTTAGTGTTCCTATCCCCAAACTAAATGTCACGGGATATTATAATACTAAATAATTTAAAGTAAATAGAATTAGAATATTTTGTATTGTAGCTTCAAGCAGAGGAAGAGTAGGGTGAAGCTTATGCTTGAAGTTGCTCATTATTAAACTGAAAGTTAAATGAAAGTTATGCCAGAGCTTTGCACCAGCTAACAACGTGTTAATACATATACATTAATAAATTAATGTAAATTAATATAAAATAATGTTATTTTAAAATTGTTTCATGGTAATGAAAGGTTCGTTGTACCATGCCTGCTAAGCAAATTGCTCACAAAAAGAGTGTGAGAAAAATAACCCCATAAAATCAAAAATACACAAATCAAACACTGTATGTCCATAAAACTATACTATAAACAATAATAGCAGAAATGTTTACAGTAAAATCAGTAGAGAAAATATCTGATTGATCAGCTGTTTGGAGTGGAAGTAAGTTTTTTGGAATCTGTAGTATATTTTGACATTAACAACAATAATCATACAGTCTTGTACATTTGCCTTCTTCTTTTTTTCTGCTCTGGGTAAATATTTATAATATCACGATTGATCTTGAAGCTGGTTGGTTTTGTTCGTTTACAAAATGTAACATGAGTGAAAATTTTGAGTGAGATTATAAGACGATAATCAATATTAATAGACTGTGATCAAATATAACTAGGTGAGGAAAAAGGGATGATAAGAGCAGAAACTTAGTCAAACAGGCCTCACAGACCATCAGCCACGATCACCACCATCATTTTTATCACGCAACCTCACAGATGAGTCAAAACCAACCCAGAACCCAGCATAGAGCGGCTGAGTGAATGTGGTGTGGACTGTATGTAGGAGTATCATTGTGTCAGAGACGCTGTAGAAGGAAAGAGTTCCTGCACTGTGATCCACATAAACTCCTATTCTGGAGGATGGACGTATTGGGAGCGGAGTTTTAATGTAGTTGTGGTAGAAAGTGAGAGAAGAATAACACAGCAGACTCCAGGACTGATTGTTACGTCCAAACTTGCTTTCATCATCCCATCCTTTCCTGCTGATCTCTTTATATGAGACTGATATGTACACCTTTCCAGTCCACTCAGCCTCCCAGTAACAGCGTCCAGTCAGACTCTCCACACTCAGCACCTGAAATATGTGGTCAAATCTCTCTGGATGGGCAGAGTAACTCTGGCCTTCATCACTCCACTTCACCACTCTGTTCTTCTCAGACAGGATGAGTTGATGATATGCTGTGTTAGGATCCAGAGTCAGCTGACAGAAATCTAAATAAAATCACAATAAAATAAAGAAAATAATCCGTTTATGTTTGTGTTCACAGAAAGTTCTTATTAGAAGAAAAACGTTGTGTTTGTTGTTGTGTTTGTTTCCAACTTTAAACGTCTCTACAGTGAGAATTTCAGACGCTGCCTAAAGGCTCAACTTACACTGTAGAAAATCTTCTCTGCTCTTTGGTTTTGAGAATAATAAAGGAGCTGCTGCAGCTGTGGAGACACAAGAACACACAGGACCACATCAATAGAATAGAATAGAATAGAATAGAATGTGAGTGCTGAAAACAGTTCTTACTTATTGTGCATTTATTATCTTCTCTCTCCTCTCTGCTTTCTGTTCACTCACATTGTTATGTCCGCTTACCTTCTATCTCATTGCCCAATTTCTCAGCTCCACTGACCACAGGTGTGTCCAGTCTGATTCACAAAGGGCTACAGGTTTGCATTCCAGTCCCTTTGTGGATCAGACTGGACGCCACTGACTCACTATATACTGGTGGACACTGTAGTTCTACACTTACAGACTGTAGTCCATCTATTTCTCTGCATCAGTGGGTCATCAGTGGTCAGGACCCCAACTGAGCAGGTATTACTTGGGTGGTGAATCATTCTCAGCACTGAACTCAACACAAGTTCAGGAATAGACAGCAGGAAGCTCCTCTTACCTTGTAGAGGGATTTTACTGAGCTCCTCTCTGCAGAACTCCTCTAGTCTCTCCTTCAGATCAGAGAGAGCGCTCCTCACTCCATCAAATGAGAGATGGTGATGGACAGAGATGCTGGAGGAGTCCTCAGATCCAGAAGAGACGCTCAGAGACTGGAAACTCTACACAGAGAAAAACAGAATGGAGAAAAAGAGGAATGAAGCAGCTCAGACCAAATCAGACTAAAGATGAGCGAGTGATCAGACAGAGCTCTGTTTATTACTGTCTTCATGAACTTTAGCTGAGAGGAGTTTGATGAAGTTGATGATGAACAGGTTCCTCTGTAGATCAGTGATTGTTACCTGGAGGAAATGGATGTGATCCTCTGTGAGTGAAAGCTGCTCCAGCTCAGTGTTTCTCCTCTTTAGATCAGCGATCTCCTGCTCCAGTTTCTCCAGGAGTTCTTCAATACCCATTCTGTTGATTTTCTAAGGGAAAAGAAGGTAACTCTGCAAGGGAGCAAACTCGAGCATATTCAAAAACATAAAATAGAACATGTCAATAAACTGGGGCTTCTTTTCTTGCTGAATGCTTCTAGTTCAGAAATATCACCACAGCTCCCAGACCAACTCACTGCTGCGTAAATGAAACCAGCTCTGTGTGACTGGAGGAGAACCTGACTGAGCTCTGAAATATCCAATCTCTGCTCAGTCCTCACCTTAAGACTGTTCACAGCCTGTTCCAGCTCCTGCAGCTTCTTCTGCTTCTCCTGGATCCTCTGCTGGACTTCTCTCTGCATCTCCTCCAGCTCCCTCTGTCAACAAACACACTGTATGACTGGGAATCAACACCTACACACATTTGGATTAATGTGGGTTAAAGAAGGGTCATTCCACACCAGCTCACCTCGTCCCTGTCCACTCACCTCATGGAGCTTCATCAAGTTCATAGAAAAAGATCAGTTTACAGCACTTTTCTGGACTTTGTAAAGGTTCATTTGTAAATACAGAGTTTTTCTTTTTTACCAGAATGAAACTTTCCAGGTCTTCTAGCAGAGTAAGTTTAGAGGAGCCTAACCACTTTCTGTTTCTCCCATCAAAAATGCTAGGGGGCACCCGCGAGCAGGTGATAAATGAATAAGGATGATATATATCCAGGACATGTCCAGACATGCTGTTGGTGAGTCAGTGTGGAGTGACCCAGTAGTGAAGTTCACTGTTGTTCTACAGAGCTTTCACCCCATCATGTGAGCACTATAAGGCTGAAGATGGTGTTGGCTGGTAAAACATTCACAGACTGCTCTGACTTTATTCCTATTGCTGAGGAAGAAAGAGTTTATTCAACACTTCCTCATCCACAACACTTTACACACATTCTTTACACACAAACCCCATTAAACTCAAGAACTGAGACAGTTTAAATCCTTCAGCTGATGCAGTTTAGCTTCATTTAGATCCAGAAGGTCTGTAGTTCTCACCTGTTTCTGGGTTCTCTCTGCTGCAGCTGAGACTGTATCGTGGCCTTTGTGGTCATCCATTGTACACAAATAGCAGATGCAGCTTCGGTCAGTAAATCAGAGCAGATCTTCTCTTGTAATCATGTGGACACTTTGACCAGCTTGTGCTTTTTCCAAGGAGGAACTTTACTTTGACTTTTACGATCATCAAAAGGAGGCCAGACACGTGAAACAAGATTTTACAGCTTTGCGTTTCCTCCCAGTGCAGAAATCACACTCCACATCTCCAGAGAGAGAGAGAGAGAGAGACACTCTGAGATCAGATATGTTTTCTCCGGTCTGGCTGTGAGTCACTTCCTGGTTTTTCTGTTTGTTAGAGCGTCACAGAAAAGGGGGAGGAGAAAGAGAAGGAGAAAAAGGACACCACAGTTTGGTGGACTCTTGAAGGTTGAAGCGTTGGGGGTAGTAGTCATATGTTTATATTGCTACTCCATAGACTAGACCAGGCTCCTGCAAGCTGCTTCTGCATAAAATACAGCATGAACAAACTACTAGAACCTGTAATGTTCCACCATAAAAAGACACATACTATACCTTATCTTATAATCATCATACATACACACATATCATTATAAAACAGTGCTTAATGTGGAAACTTTTACTTAATTAAAAACCTTTTTATTAAAAAAACACTCATGATGATAATGCTAATTTCTGCTAACACATATATGAGATCAGGCCAGTGGTGGTGGCTAACTTTTTGTTTTCCCCACTGTGGCTTTCATTTTACTTGGTTTGAGTCTATATATATGGATATTTGACAAACTAAATCTCGTTTGGAGAGGCTGGATGCAACAGCAAGTGTTTTTAATTGATGACAATGAACAAGAACAAACACTGAGTATAGTACAAAAGATCTATTACATAACTTTTAAACCAAATTAACAAAAGAGAAACCAAACACTATTTATTATACTGTAATAAATAGTTTTCATCTAACAAAAGTTTAAACATCATTTAGTGAGCTTATCGTGTTTGGTATCCGCTCACTATCTTCAAAATGTGCTGTTTTCCAGCTGAAAGGTATGAGGTGAAATTGCCCTCAGATGAGGCTAGTAGCATTAGCCTTTGTGTAACAATGGAGGCATGTGGGTCAGTTGCAGGTGCAAAGTGGCTTTATTTTTATATTGACTGCGTGGTGTTTGAGCTCTAAACAGTAGGAACAATGTCTCATTCCACATCACAACTCATAGATAAGGAGTAACCCTGGACCTATTCGCCACTCCTTTGTTGGTGAACTGCTGGACCTTTTTGCTGCACCTTTGTAGGTGAATCATAGACCGTTTTGCCACACCTTTGTTGGTGAACTGTTGACCCTTTTTGCCACACCTTTATAAGTGACCTGTTGGAGCTTTTTACCGCACCTTTGTAGCTGAAGAGTTGACTCCAATTAAATGTTCTTTTGTATCTTTCTTTCTCTCTCTCTCTTTCTCCTTATTTCTTCCTCTGCTGTTTTCTCTTCTTCTAGGTGGTGGGCCACCTTTTTTAGTTATCATGTTTATTGATCCCTGGCTCTGCACTGTGTAAAAACTCACTGTTAAATACTTAATTTTTTTGTGATTGTAATGGTGATTGTTGGCATACTCCATTTTTCTGTGAACATTATCATAAGTCCTAAGCTATTCAGGCGAAGGTCATCAGCTACTTAACAAAGTGGCCAATCAGATGTCTCACATTGCCTTTTTTCCATCTTAGTGAGAGAATCACCATCAGTGCAGTAAACCATAGTGATAAAGAGCTGGAGAGCTGCACTAGCCCAGAGGGTTAATCTGGTTAGACACGCTAGGTTCATGTATAACTGTAAGAAATATTATATATGACATAAGTCATGGGACAGGAACTAGTATCATGTAGGACACCCTCTAGCCCAGTGGAGTGCAGCAACTCGACGTGTCATCACTCCCATAATGGATGGAAGACATCTGGAGGGATCTTGAGCCATGATGTCTGGTTAGGCACCCACAGCTCTGTGGTTTTTTGTGGTGCAGTATCTCTGGTGCGAATGGACCTCTCCATTACATCCTATAAATGCTTGATTGGGCTCATGTCTGGCAAACGTTCAGGCCACACCATTTGACACAACTCTGGATAACTTGGGCCCGATGGCATGGTGAGTCCATGAAGGGGTGCAAATGGTCACCAAGCAGTGAAACATAGTGGTCGCTGTCAATGACATGATTAGGCAGACCAGTGGACCCAACCCATGCCATGAGAACACACCCCATACCAGCATGGAACCACCACCAGCCTTTTTCTGATGAGTACTGGCTAAGCAGTTAGAATGGAATCAAACTGACACCCAAGAAATGTGAACTTTTTAATCAAGTCCAATCCGTAGGTAATCTTGTGTCTGGTAAAGGGGTACAGATAGATTCCCAAAACGTGCAGGCAGTTTTACAGTTAAAGGAGAAAAGGCCTGGCCCAATGGGGAAGTTAGTTCCAGTAAACCTCAAGGTAAAGCATGTGTCCAAGACAGCTAAAGGTAAAACCCATCAACAGCTTCCCTCTAGAACACCAGTCATGTGGTCTTATTAGCACTGTGCTGTTGTGACAAGGTCTGATAACAAGTTAACAACTCTACCTCTTCTTGCCTATCCAGACTTTAACTAGTCTTTCTCCTGCATCCAGATACATCCACTGAAAAGCTTGGAGCAGTTCTTTATCAACATCAGCAAGGCAAACTTCACATAAACGGTTACAGATCTAGGACCTACACTCCTGTGAAGAAAAAGTACCATCTGTACCACTGCAGTGGATACTGGTAGAAAAAAAAGATCAGTAACAGTCTTGCTATAATTACTGATATCATCACTGATCTTGATGAGAGGAAAAGTGACAATGAATTTTTGAGGTGAACTACAGTGTAAACTATCCGAGTTCTTCTTCATCTGATCATTTAAATGGTTAATAAGTGTGTGTGTATTTACTGGGATGCAGTAGTAGATCTGCTATTGTTGGTAAATAATATGAGATGTGTAATCTGTATCTTATGCTGTAAGATATGTGTAATCTGTATCTAATTACTGAATAAAAGCCTAAAGGTCTGTTCACACGAAGTACAGATCAGATTTATAATCAAAGTAGACCTACCATGAGCTACGGGATTGTGAGATGTTGGTATATGAACTGAAGTCATAAGTCAATCTTATTTCAAGTTTGTTGACAGATACGATGTGTTTATTTAGGGATGAGGAGAGGAGTGAAGTGTTGAACACGCAGCTGAACCACACACAGATCCAGTCATCATGACACTCTGCTGCACAGTATACAAACATGTAGACACACAAACATCCCAATGCATTGCATAATATTGCACATTACAAAGTTGTGTTAAAAGAAAGAATGTTTGAAGAATAAAAGGCAGGTCTTTCACAAATATCCATGCATCTAAGAAACTGAAATTAAATGAAAAATAACAAAAAACACTTACGCTCCTTTACTTTCTGTCGTATGGCAGAATCCCCTTTGTTCTGATAATAGTTCAGGAACAGCCAACAGGACGCTCCTCTTACCCTGTGGAGGGATTTTCCTGAACTCCTCTCTGCAGAACTCCTCTAGTCTCTCCTTCAGATCAGAGAGAGAGCTCCTCACTCCATCAAATGAGAGATGGTGATGGACAGAGATGCTGGAGGAGTCCTCAGATCCAGAAGAGACGCTCAGAAACTGGAAACTCTACACAGAGGAAAAACAGAATGGAGAAAAAGAGGAATGAAGCAGCTCAGACCAAATCAGACTAAAGATGAGCGAGTGAAAAGCAGGTAACTCTGCAGTGAACGAACTCAAATTGTATTACATAAATAATATTTATATGTTCATTTTAAATATTTATATGTTCAGCAAAAATTTGGGCTTCTAAATCCTTCTTTTCTTGCAGAGCATATCTAGTTACTGAAGTCAGGGATTTTGTGGGCCTCTCCAAAACTTTAATCTTGTAATTCTTATAGTTGTTCAGGCTTGATTATAGGTACTTTTTGGATCATTTTGTCTGTGACTGTGGGACAGTAGCTTCCAGGATTATGGAAGCTAGTGGAATCCCATCTTTTATGCCATTCAAATGCAAAGCATAATAGATCCATTCCCATGCTTAACAGTTGGCAAGGTGTACTTTTCATCAAGTGCTGCTTTTCTCAAAGTATGCCAAAGAGAAAATATGTGGCACTTTCTGCATGTCAAAATTTTGGCAGGTCCACCGGGCCAATCAGAACATGCTACATCATCAAGCCACGCCCCCAAATGTACCTTCAACAGTTTTAACCAGTCATTTTGAACAGATAACAGCTTATTCTCAACTAGTTTTTTTAATCGAGAAATCCACACCCCTCATATGTTTTTGTTCAGCCATTTTGAGATGCTATGATACTAATATTGATTTAAATTCCTGGCAAAGTTTAAAAAATGCAGACCAATCAGATGTTTGTATTCATAACTATACATAAGATCAAACTTTTCCCTTCCATCCATGACACTGTGAGCAAGAACATTGAAGAGTTAGTGTTTCAGGAGATGTAGATGAAGCTAAGAAGCTAAAATGTTAGGAAGCAATGGTGAACATCCTGGATTCACCAAAAATGCCAGCGAAAGCTTTGTCTAGATCAACTTCGTTAAGTGCAGATAAGTTCTCGAGGCCCTGACAAAAAAAAAAAACAATGATCAGATAACTGACTGGACACTGTCTAAGCATGTAGAAGTTTAGATGAGTATACATTCAGTTAAGAAACTGTTTAATTGCTTTCAACAGACTGTCTCCATCTAGTTTTTCCCTGGCCCCCACTGATTAGCCCCCTACTGATGTGATGTGTTTAGTCTAGATAAGTCATCAAGACCCTGAGAAACAATCAGATAACACAACTGACAGGACAGTTCCTAAGCATATATATGTTTAGTTACTGAGAAGAGAGACAGATGTTGATCCTGGATTCCTGCCAAACACAGCTGCAACTTGAACACAGTTTTTAATCTTTTTGAAATAGACTAACATTCAAGCTGAATTGTTTACAACTTGATGAAATGTACTTGAGATCAAGTAAATGTAGAGGATTAGCAGTTAAATCAGTATCTTTATTTATTTTTACGTATTTTCATTTTTCGAACCATCTTAATTTTCAAATCAACTCTGTTCAGTAGAAGGTTATCTGAAAAAATATATCAGAGTGAATGTGCCTAATCAAGTCAAAGGTTAGAGTTCTGCACTAAAAAGGGCCCTGGATTTGAACCCGCTGTTATGACCTTGAGAATCTTTCATGTCCATCTGACCAACCATGTCTTTGTAAAACAATCCGACTGAAAATTGCATGTCCTAAGCCTCCTTTCCAAAATTCATAATAGATTCCATAATAGATCTGTATGGGTATGTGTTACTGGACTGACTGATGAGATGGTCTCTGAGCACAACATCTACTTGTGAAAATAGAGATGCTATAGGATAGTTTGCAACCTTGACCTTAGCATCATTAGCTAAGTTAGCTAAGACCCATCACGGTTTGTGATTTTACAACCTAGATGTAAAAAGGTGTTGTTCAAGTCTAGGTAATCTTCACTGTTGCCGGCTACATGAAACTACATTATCAGTCATGGCCGAAAGTGGTGGAATTTCAACATAAGTATACTTTTCAATACCCAACTTTTCAATGTCCAACTTTCTTCGTTTGATAGAGGGGGAAGAAGAATGCTTGTCTCTTTGTTTGTTCTTTTTACTCTGACCTTACCCTTGGTGATCTTACATGTTGGTTTCAAAATAATTATTCAGCCTCATTTTAAGTTTCTCAATGCTTTTAATTCATTCCAGCTCATCAACCCCATGCCCAGGGCCAAATGTTTGAGGCTGCACAACATAGATAGGCATATGTTGCACATACTGTCAGCATTTCTTTTGGTATGGACAGCAAAAGTGTGTAAATACTGATGCTCTGAAGGTTTCCAGGGTACTATGAGTATCTTGTAATTAGGTTCAAACTTTAGTTCATGTAAGAGTATAATTCACCACAGTGTTTCTTGAAACTGCTCCAATCATTCCAATGCAGGATGAATTTCCCTGTGGCATTCAAGAAACTCTAGGTTGGGCTGCTGAAGAGGGGAATGCTGTCATTTTGTTCTTCAAAAATGAACACAAAGTAGCTGCCATTTGATAATCACCACACATGAAACATATCCAACTCATTGAGTCACAAAGTCAATCTAGGCAAAGCTGTTGCTGGCTTTTTTGGTGCATCCAGGATATTCACTATTGCTTCTTAACTTTTTTAGCTTCTTAGCTTCATCTACATATCTTGAAACACTAACTCTTAAACACTCTTGCTCACAGTGTCATGCATGGAAGGAAACAGTTTGATTATGAATACAAGCATCTGATTGGTCAGCATCTTTTAAATTTTCTGGGAATTTTAAATTGATATTAGCATCATAGCATCTCAAAATGGCTGTACAAAAACATTTGAGGGGTGGGGATTTCTAGATTAAAAAACAAGTTGGTAGTAAGTTGTTATCTGTGCAAAACTGCTGAAACTGTTGAAGGTTTGTGGTTTCCAGGAAAGTGTCTGACCAACGAAAGGGTGGAGGTTTCCAGGAAAAATGGTTAAGAGGTGGGAAGGCGGTACCTGCGGCGGCGGGAGGTTCTGGGTGGGGCTTACGGCAAATGCATGCTTCTGATTGATTGAAGGACTGGGACAAATGTATGCATCTGATTGGCCTTTGGGGGCGTGGCTTGATGATTGATCTTTTGGCCTGCGAAAAGTGCCTCATATTCTCTCTTTTATACCTTTTACAGTTTACAGTTTTTGTTTGCTTGGATTTGAAGCAGAAACCAGTTCAACTCCATCACATACAGGCAGCATTGCTTTAGAGCTTCAGCTCCTGTGAGAGCTAGTAGGGTTTTCATCAGAATGGACTTTTTATCCAGTGCCCAGGTCTTTGAGTCACAGGATAATGAAAAATGAACTTTGTCACCATTGTTACTCTACATCAATTCTTCTCCTTTTTCTTCTTCACACAAGCGTAGAGAAAAGGTGCAGGGCATCAAAAAATTACATGGGCTCTCTTTATCTGTAATAGATGATCCTGTGAGAAAAGGCCTTACAACAACTAAATGTTAACTATAATAAAGAGCAGACAGCATGTTTCTGATGCAAATTTCCTCCAGACTCACTTGCACCACAGCTCACGGAGCAACTCACTGTGTGTATAAATGAAACAAACTCTGACTGGAGGAGAACCTGACTGAGCTCTGAAATATCCAATCTCTGCTCAGTCCTCACCTTAAGAGTGTTCACAGCCTGTTCCAGCTCCTGCAGCTTCTTCTGTTTCTCCTGGATCCTCTGCTGGACTTCTCTCTGCATCTCCTACAGCTCCCTCTGTCAACAAACACACTGTATGATTGGGAATCATCACCTACACACATTTGGATTAATGTGAAGGGTCATTCCACACCAGCTCACCTCGTCCCTGTCCACTTGATTTTTATCAAGTTCTTACCAAAACCAGTTTACAGCATTCTTCTGGAGTTTTATAAATATTTATTTGTAAATCCAGTGTTGTTCTTTTGGCAGTTTTACTGCTTATTTGTTCTGAGCTTCTTTAAACAAATTCTGTATTGTCAAAAAAAAAAAAAATTAAACCATAAAGAAATTAAAGCACATCAATAATTGACATATATGATATTCAGAAATAACTGTCCTGATTCAGGAAAAAGACTGAAAGAAGCTGAACCAGTCCCTTTTGAGAAAAAGGCCAGTAAAGATCTACAAAATAGGTGTCTAGTTGTGAGACTCATGTTTTGCCCTTACAATGTAGCTGTAAATACTGCATCTAGAAATGACATGAAATATATAAATACTATAGCTGGGGCATAGAGTAAGACACAGGGGAGGCTATAATTCTGCCGCAAGAATTGCTCTTTTATTAAACACCAGCAGAAAGGCACACAAAGAGCACAACTCATGGTGGAGGTCACCGCTAGCCACAGAATACACCTTCATGGTGACCAACCTCCAACACAAAACACCCAAACCTCTGACAAAGAAGAAAAAAAATAAAGACAAACACATATTTTTAGATTAAGAAACAGCGACATTAACAATCAGAAACAACCTAACATAGTCCCTTTTCAGAAGTGCATGCACCTACCATGAGCCTCTGTGCATGCTGCTCACATGGCCATGACTTCTGAGGTTCTCGGAGGCAGCGGCAGCCAGTAGCGGGTGACTACATAGCTTCCCTGTCAAAGGTTGACCATCCCGGTGACCTCCCCCCAGTCTTCGCTTGGGGCTGCATCCTTCCTATTGCGGCTCCTCCTGAAGGAACTCCCCACAGTGCACCATGCCAAGTCCCACCCAGCTTGGAGGCAACAATGGTGCTCCACCTGACCACTATCCACTTTCTCCACTACCAACTGCGACATCGACACTGGCATGAGCACCACCTATGCACGCTGGGGCCCCAGCTCTGCCACTGGTGACAGACTTGATCTGGAGAATGGTTGCCTTCCAGCCATTTGATGCATTTCTTTGTGTGTGTGTGTCAGCATGGCTGGTCACAGTAGAGATATTGGTGAGCCTGTTAAGGTGAGCACAATGAGCTGTCTGCCGCCCATGCTGCACTCGACCCACCGCCCACGGCCACTGCTGAACCTTCACACCGGAATCTGTTACATGCGGTCCCAGGCTCATGGTGCCATCCAGTGCGATGTCCTCTCTCTCCACAATGCCGGCTCACCCACCACTTTGCTGCTTCCCCCAGTGCTTCACGCTGAAGCCTTTGACAGTTTTACTTTTATTTTTCCTGGCCTTCCTCTCGCCAGCACCACCATTGTGCCTTGCAGCATTGCCTCTGGCATAAAACCTTCCTGCTCTGGCTTTGTCATTGATCCTTCCTATGCCTGCTCAGCCATTCAGCTTCACCATGCTATCTACTCCATGGAGTCTTTTAGCGCTTCCCCCCGCCATCAGCGTCTTTTGCCAGGCTCTGCCTCACTCAAAGTTCACTTATAAGTTCTACTCCAGACCACTGGGAGGGGTTCTATCCCACTTCTGACACCACTGTGTGACACCACTAGACACAGGATTCACCCTTATGGTGACCAAGCTCCAACACAAGAAAACCCACACCCCCAACACAGAATAACACAATAAACACATATACATACTTTTAAACTAACAAATATTATTTTATATTAGCAACAATAAACAACATAAGTAGTCTCTTCAGGAGTGTGCATGCCTAAAATCAGCCTTTGTGCGTGGCTGCTCACATGGCCAAGCCTTCTGGAGGCAGCACCACCCAGTAGCAGGTCGCTAGAATACTTTAAAATCCAAATCGAAGATTACAGTCCAAAAAGGAAATTTTGCACATCAGACCTAAAAGTGTCACCTGTTTCTGGGTTCTCTCTGCTGCAGCTGAGACTGTATCGTGGCCTTTGTGGTCCTCCATTGTACACAAATAACAGATGAAGTTTTGGTCAGTGCGACAGTAGATGTCCATCAGTTTGTCGTGTTGAGAGCAGATCTTCTCTTGTAGTCGTGTGGATGCTTTGACCAGCTTGTGCTTTTTCCAAGCAGGAATTTCATAGTGAGGTTTAAGATGATCTTCACAAAAGGAGGCCAGACACGTCAGACAGGATTTTACAGCTTTGCGTTTCCTCCCAGTGCAGAAATCACACTCCACATCTCCAGATCCAGCAGGAGGAGCAGCTCGGACTTCTGTTTTCTTCAGTTTCTCCAACATTTCAGCTATAAAGTAGCTTCTGCATAGAACAGGCCTCGGAGTGAAGGTCTCTCTGCACTGGGGGCAGCTGTAGAGCCCCCTGTGATCCCCATGATCCCAGCAGCCATTAATGCACACCATAGAGAAACTGTGTCCACGGGGAACGGTCACTGGATCCTTCAGCAGATCCAGACAGACTGGACAGCTGAACTGGTCCTGATCTACTAAAGTACTGGCCTCTGCCATTCTCCTGACCATCTACACTGAGAGAGAGAATCAGTGAGTGTTAGTCACTTCCTGTTTTTTTCTGTTGGTTACAGTGTCACAGAGAGGAGGTGGAGGAGAAAGAGAGGAGGAGGAGGAGGACTTAACTCTTTAGTGGACTTTTGAAGGTTGATCATTTCTGTTTAAAGCATGGATGAGGTAGACTCTAAGTTGTATTTATTATATTGTTACATAGGTCATCAAACCAAAATATATTTTGCTATGTATATACAGTCGCTTCATGTCGTTATTGACTGTGTGCCGCTGTGAGGTGCGGTATGATGGTGTTTTCAACAAAACATGTGAATTCAGCATAGCTGAGTTTTATCAATTGGGAAAGTAATCAGATACAGGCATTTAAATGGCTATCATCATTCTATTTAACAGATTATTTACAGGATTTCCCACCTTGTACAATCGGACCGAAATTGTATTCAGAATTGCCTGAATCAGACTAGTCTATTCTGAGGTGTATATATGGACGTATTCTATTCTGATTGAGTTATTAGTCAGATTAATAATGGATTATGATGTTGCATGCAAACATGGCTAGTGTCTAAATGGTGGGTTGTATGATCCCTTAAACTCTCTGGATCAGGACGTGAATGTAAATGTCTACATGTTGCTGTGGGTATAGTGTGAAGAGGGAATGATGCAGAGAGAAATCACAGACTGGAGACTTTACCTGATTACCCCGCTTGCCCTCTCTCACTCTCTCTCTCTGTGTCTGATTACCTCACCTTTTCTTTCTCTCTGTATCTGATTACCTCACTCGCCCTCTCTCTGTCTCTTTCTCTCTCCCTCTCAAGCTCAAAGCTTGCCTGTTCACAGCAAGAGATTACTGGCCTTTCCCAGTTTCAAGCTCCGAGACAAAGAGAAAGGTCTTCTGTACCCTGGACTCAGATACTGCACCATGTTGGACCTACACTAATGAAGAAAACCCATACAGTCAGAACTTAGAGTTGCTAGTACTGGTGCCCATGAAAAATCATTTAAAATCAACAACTTGAAATCGAATTGAAACAGTTTTATTTCATGTATGATTATCATTTATTTATTGATTAGTTCATCTGAACTGTTGCACTGACAAATTAATCTGCACAAGTGAACAGTGTTTGACACCCCTCCCCCCAGCACCGCCTCTCACACTCACACACAGGCTCCCTTTCTGTCCCTCACACTGCCAGTCTGCCGTCTGAGCTCCGAACAGCTTAAACTTGCCAATAACGAAGCTTTTGGAAACACAATGCAGCAAAGTACCTTTAAACCTACTAAATAAAGTAGTGAAAATAAGAATGTGTGAGATAAACGTACGAACTTTTCTCCCCCGTCATCCTGAGCATTTCTCTGAGGTAACTTGTCAGGGTTGCTAGTTAGCTAGTTAGCTAACTAGGTAAGTAACACTACTTAGCATCTGAACACAAATTTGACAACTTACCTAGCTAGCTAAACACAATGGCCACACAAGATCACATTAAGAATCAAACTAGATGGCTTTCTGTCCCACAAAGTTATCTAGGTAGTAGGAAATGAGGACACAAGCCTCAGTTTCCATATATGCCTGCCCAGACAGTTAACTAGCTACTGCCCAGATAGCGAGCATATCTCGGTCCGCCGGCTTGAGAAGGTCGGCACCCCACTACCTGTTTGCCACTGCCGGCCCACCCTCAGACCATCCAGATTACTATATTGCATACAAGCTCTAACTAGATTTTAATCTCTTCAAACAGATTTTAAAAGCATAGAGACTTTTATTTTGAAAAATAAACTAAGATCAATTTTATAAACAACTGAGAAAAAAAAATGACTAGGTCTGATATAAAATGATTTTATAGAAAATGTTGTTGCTGACGCTGAGATAGATTAAAATTATTTACTAAACTAATTTACAAAGTATCACTAAAAAAAGAATGTAGGAAAAAATTGGACTGTGGGTGGAAAATGAGTGATGATGAGTGGAATTTTGTCTATTACTATGTTTAACCACCGGTGGACCGCCAGCTTTGCCGTCAGCAGTCCAATAGTGGCCTACTATCCTCTTGCTATCAGTCTATGTTAGCTAATGTTAACTTACTGCTTGCAGATAACGTGCAGGCTTCATGAAGGCACTTCATGAAGCCAAATGAAAACCGTAATTAAACAAAACACAAGTTTGTAATATTTCAATCAATATATCTAAAGGTCAGAATTTGTTCAAATGAATAAGAACTTCTCACCCTAACTCTTCAATGCCAAATCTCCCATTTGTCTGTTGCCCTCTCAAAGTTATGTACACTCAGAAAGGTAATGATCACTTGCCCAGAACTTTCCTTTAATCTTCGAAAGTAGAAGGACATATTTCACTAAAAAAGCAAAGAAAACTGAGGTATGCTTCCTTCTTTCTACAGCAAACAGTTTTTAGGCAGCAGGATGTTAGCATTACTGCTACTTAGTGCTGGTTGTTCGCTGAGCAGTGCAGCACATTGGCTATTTGTGCTTATTGATGTCATGAATGTACATGAGGTGATGTTTAAAATGTCTCTAAATGGAGTTCAAAAGCTCTTAAAAATATAACAGCGGTTTTATGATGTTTTATGATATTCTGTGTTTAAAATATTTAAGCATTTCTAACTATGATTTTGCTCAAATGCTCCATCTTAACCCATTCATTTTGGACTTGCTTGGGAGTGCCCTCTAGTGTTTGAGAAATCTGGAAGATATTACATTACCCATTCAGCCTACAGCAGTTTAGCTCCACCCATTCGGTTCACACCAGTTTAGTCCTACCTAGTCAGAAGTGCTTTGGCTTGGATTTCTTTTTGGATGAGGCACAATACAGGGCAGCCAATCAGAACAGACTTAAATTGCAAAAGTTTTAGCACACTGGTCAAACTCCATGTCTTTGTTGATTTTCTAAGTGATAATAAGTTACAGATCCTCTACAGAGAACACACTTCTGCACATTTTAATACAGTTACTGTTTATTTACTGAATTTATTACACTGTACATTGTTCATTAATATATTATATATTTTGGTTTATCACCCTAATAATGGAAAAAATACCACTGCCAGTCCACGTCATCCAGTACTTTAAACAGTCTTCAAAAGTTCAGCAAACAGCGGCACCCTCCTTCTCCTCATTCTCTTTTCTCCTCCCCTTCTCTTTCTCCTCCTCCGCTCTTTCTCCTCCCCCTCTCTGTGACACTGTAACCAACAGAACAACCAGGAAGTGACTCACACTCACTGATTCTCTCTTACAGAGTAGCCGGTCAGGAGAATGGTAGAAGTCAGTATTTCAATAGATCAGGACCAGTTCAGCTGTCCAGCCTGTGTGGATCTGTTGAAGGATCCAGTGACCATTCCCTGTGGACACAGTTTCTGTATGTTGTGCCTTAATGCCTGCTGGGATCATGGGGATCACAGGGGGCTCTACAGCTGCCCCCAGTGTAGAGAGACCTTCACTCCGAGGCCTGTTCTACGCAGAAACTACTTTATCGCTGAAATTTTGGAGAAACTGAGGAAGACACAAGTCCAAGCTGCTCCTCCTGCTGGATCTGGAGATGTGGAGTGTGATTTCTGCACTGGGAGAAAACTCAAAGCTGTAAAATCCTGTCTGACATGTCTGGCCTCCTTTTGTGAAGATCATCTTAAACCTCACTATGAAATTCCTGCTTGGAAAAAGCACCAGCTGGTCAAAGTGTCGACACCACTACAAGAGAAGATCTGCTCTCAACATGACAAGCTGATGGAGATCTACTGTTGCACTGACCGAAGCGGCATCTGCTATTTGTGTGCAAAATATAAACACGTAGGCCACGATACAGTCTCAGCTGCAGCAGAGAGAACCCAGAAACAGGTGAGAACTACAGACCTTCTGGATCTAAATGAAGCTAAACTGCATCAGCTGAAGGATTTAAACTGTCTCAGTTCTTGAGTTTAATGGGGTTTGTGTGTAAAGAATGTGTGTAAAGTGTTGTGGATGAGGAAGTGTTGAATAAACTCTTTCTTCCTCAGCAATAGTAATAAAGTCAGAGCAGTCTGTGAATGTTTTACCTTGTTTGCCTTATAGTGCTCACATGATGGTGTGAAAGCTCTGTAGAACAACAGTGAACTTCACTACTGAGTCACTCCACACTGACTCACCTATAGCATGTCTGGACATGTCCTGGGTTTACATGAAACGGTTCAAGAAGAAACTTCAGTTTAGTCCAGTAAACCTGGGACAACACAGCAACGACCTAGCAACACCATAGTATGGTTACCATAGCAACAGCCTAGCAACAGTTTAGCGACCACCTGGGATTCCATATTAACGACGTGGTAACACCTTAGCAACACTGCAGAATTTTTTTCAAAACATTTCACTGAAAATCTGTGGTGCATCAAAACCCAAACCTGTAACTGTATGTCAAATTGGTTCACACTGCCAAATATGAAGATGTACATTAACCTTTTAAGTTTCCTGATCAAAACAAATGCATAAGGGACACCAGTCAGAACAGTGTGGTGTGATGCCCCCAGCCGTCTCTGAGGATACCTGTTTCTGTGAACAGAAATGGAGGATATAACCATTAAATTGTAGAGACTGCACACTGTGTAGTGTATTTCACTACTGTTAGAAATGTTGGAATACACTACATCAGTTAGTAGTTCAGCAGGAACCTTGTCAGACTCAGTTAATGAGCAATTAATGTTGAATTGATTGATGATTTATGAGTAGTTATTCTAAGAAACCATAGTTACTCCATAATTCAATATGAGACTCAGTAGGTATTGTGTTGTTAATAGTGAACTACCCTAATCATTAGTTCACTATTACCCTACTCAGCAGTTAACTAGTAGTCATAGGTAGTTAAGAATAGTTGCTTAAGTGTTAAGCACTTGTGCAGCTCTACTCATTCGTTACTTATTAACTATTAAACAGCATTGTAAAGTGTTACCTGACTCCACAGCAATGGTTTAGCAACACCTAAACAACCACTTGGTTAACCATAGCAATGGCATAGCGACACCTTA